GAGGGCAGGGGACTTGGCAGCAGCTCCTGCTCACAGGACACAGTGATGCATGGCCTGTCTGATGGCAGCCCCTGGGTGCTGGTGACATCCTCAGCCTGCTGAGCACTCAGTCACCTGTAACTGTCCAATACAATCAATCCTTGTGTAACAGTGCTCCCAAGATATTCATTCCCTTCAGTGTGAAGCAAATATTGATCTCCTGATCAGCAGTCAGAGGCACATGTGCGAGTCCCTGGGCTCACAAACATGTGACCTTGCTCCAGAGGGGATGAGCATTTGTGGCTTTCCCCACACTCCAAATCCACATCTGCACTTGTGCTCATGTCCAGCATGAGCGTGGCAGGGCTCTGATGGCTGAGGGAAGCCTGTTGTGCTGCAGTTATACACCACACGTGTTCACCAAGGGAAAAAGCCAGGCTCCACAGCTCCCCTGCCCCTCTGAGAGCCGAGGGAGCGCTCACGGACGTCAGAGGATTCCCATGTGCACCTTGCAGGGACAAAACAAACACCTGGAGGCCATGTGCAAACCCTGAGCACCTGAGGTGCCCTGAGACCCAGAGCAGCTGGCTGTACCTGCAGGGTGTTCTGGGGAGAACCACAGGTGACTAACTTGCAATGACCTGCTCCTCTCACCCACAGGAGTAACACTGGGAGAACACAGGAGCAAAGCAAAGTCTTTGGCTTCTGAGATATTATAATAAATACATATTATCATCTCTCTGAGCCCAAATTACTGGAGAAAGCATTCTAAAGATGGTCTGAAAATACACCCAGAACATTCCCCAAGCTTCAAACAACTGAAGAACACCTGCTGCTTGAAGCTTTATGCTCACTTTGCACAGAACAGTAACACAAAACCTTTGCAGCTTTTCTGAACATGAGAAATAGCTGCACATGAGGTGCTCTGTGTCCATCCCCTTTTACTCTCACACACCTACGGTGGCTACTTCAGTATTATGAGAAAATGCTGGTGCCTGTCCAACCTTGGAGCATCTCTGACACATGTGCAGCAATCTCTGAGCTGCATCCAGACACCACTTACAGCAGAGTGACTGGTGTCTCCAGTTGTGCTCAGTTTCCCAGAGGCAGCTGCAGTCACCTCTGAGGTGCTGCCAGTTCAGCTCCACTGAATGCTGCTCTTGGCACCCCTAACTTAAAAGTATCAGGGAAGCAAAATCCTGGACTGAGCACTCCTAATATAAGACCATGGCAATTCCAGTGACACTGTGGGGGAATCTGAACTGAGGTGGGACCAGCCTGCAAGTTACTCAAGCATTTTCAAGAAAAGTTCAAGGTCTTCCCCAAAAGAGCTGGCCCCACGGGTGCTCAGAGGGAGCACTCCTGCCTCACCAGCAGCACAAAAATACCCAGACCTAGGTTTTCATAACACCCAAGGACATAACAGCATTAATTGGCTGTTCTTCCCAGAAGGAAGAAATAGATATTGAAATCAGCTGAAAGGAAATCATTACTGTCACACAACAGAAGTGGTGCTCCCCATGGAGCTCAGTCGCCTTGCTGAGATGAATCCACGTGGAGCCAAGTCCCTGGGTGACAAAAGAACAGAAATGGAAAGCACAAGACTCACCCAGCCATGACCACGCTGTGTTGCAGCAGTGCTGGAGCCTCCTGTCCACCTCAGCCCTCCAGCCACGGCTGCTGAGCAGCACAACAGGCCCTGGTGAGCCCTGCAAGCATCCTCACTCAGGGGCAGGGACTCCACTGGATCCACGGGAAGTGAGCCAGGACTCTGATTCAAAATCACCTGCACCTGCCTCATACAAAATCCTCTCTCTGCAAAGCCTGTGGAGACCATCCATAGTCACTGACTGAGGGCTCAGGTTTTGGCCTTCACAAAGGTTCCTTCATGGCAGGCGCCTGTTTCATCCTCTGGACTCACACACCTGAGTGATTCTCCCCTGCTCTGCAGTCTGCTGATAATTGTTACTCAGTTTGTTTCCTTTAAATATGAGATTTGAGCATCGTCTCTGTGGCTCCTCAGTCTCCCCATGCCCTGTTCCTGGCTGTGCTCCCCAGGGTGTGAGGGGAGCCGGGGCTGTTTCTCCAGGTGTTCCCAAGGCCTTGGCACTGGCTCTCTACAGGGATGGACAGTCCCTTCTGAGGAAACTCACTGAGCTCAGCACACAGGGTGTGTTTCTGCTTCTGCCACAGGCAGGATTGGTATCAGCTTCAGGGAAAACATGGAATAAATATCCAGAATAGAGCACCTGTTGCTCAGAGCCTGCAGCAGCCAGAGGATGGCTCACCCAAGCAGAGGCACAAACTCACCTGAAATGTTTTTTACATTAAAGCTCCTTCAGGAGGGGTGTGGATTTTGACGGGGGTAGTCCCTGCCCTGCCAGGAGCCCTCAGAAGATGTCTGTCCTTCCCTGGCTCTGCCTGGCTGCGGGTGGGCGCTGAAGGAGTGGCTGGGGCTGCCGGACCCCGGTGTGGGGCTGAGGAGACCCCACACCCCAGAGCAGCTCGGGCAGGGGGGGCTCTGCCCCACAGGGAGCACCCACAGGGGGCCTTGCCCTGAGGGGAGACCAGACAAGGCAGTGGATTCACTCCACAAGTGGTGAAGTCCTGCAGAAATGGGGTGTGGAGCCCCCAGCCCCGCCTCAGCAGCGCCGTGTGGCGCCAGGCCCTGCGGCCCCGGCACTGTCAGGACATCTGGAGCCCCGCAGCAGCTCCCCCTGCCCAGCCTCCCCACAGCAGCTCAGACTGCAAGCAGAAACAGTTTCCGGACACAGAGAGCCTTCTCCTGAACAGTAGAAATAAAGAGACCTGAAATGTCCCTAGACCTTGATAGCAGCAATGTTTCTGCCACTTCTCATTTGGTCGTGACTCTCCCTGTACTTGGTGTTTTCACTCTATCCCCACCTTTCTGAAACCCTGTTGGAAATTTATTTTTAACCAAAGTCAGTGTCTAGTTTTGTGACTGTGAAGCAAAGTTTGGAAGTGTGGTCTGTATCTCTGAATAACTCGGGAAAAACCCCTGCAATGCTCACGTGTGAACATGGTCTGTGTCTGTCTGCACCTCTTCCTTCTGCTGGGGGTAAAGCTGAGGGCGTGCACAGAAAAATGGCACTTACATGTTATTTATCAAAGCCAAAAGGGAAACAGGGTTTAAATAATCAACCATTATAGATACTATATATAAATACAGAGCATTCACACAGAATCAGAGAATTTTCAAATACATTTGTATTCTCATACTGCTCTATTTATTCTGTTAGGCTTTTAATCTCCCAGTTTAAAAGGGGTCTCTGAAATCTAATGTACAGATTTGGGAGAATCTATCCATCCCACATGGCAGGGCTGTAATTAAGAATGGGTGAGAGAGAGGCATATGAGCAGCAGGTCGGGTGGACCTTTCATTTGCAGATGAGCTGTCCCAGTAAGTCATTCTTCCCTGATTTATATTATGAAATGCACTTTATCTGTTTCAAACAATACCTAGCCAGACATGTGTAATTTCTGAGACATGCAGGGAAATGAGGAAGGAGTCCAAGGGTAACAGGAATTAAAAATACATGTTTAAAGCCTTTAGTTTCAGCATCATTCCTGTTTCTGCTGGGATTGTTGCAACTTCCACTGCTGGAGTATCTGGTTTATTACTCCGAAGAGGAGCCAGAGGTCAGGAGAAAAGCCTTAGGTGATATAAAGCATTAGGTAGGAGTGAGAGGCTGCAGGAGTTTCTGCACAAGAGCTCATCTATTTAAGTTTTCTGTTGGTGTGCATTTGGTGCAGTAGTTGTGGTGCTTCGTGTTGCCAAAGATGATAGTTTTTCCAGAGAGTTTAATTAAAAAAGGTTAAGGAGCTGTTGGTCTGATAACATATGACCACAGAGTTGATTTGGAAGATATACTGGGTAAGGCTTAAAAAACAAGGAAAAATTAGAATCAGGTGATTTTACTGGGCTTCTTTGTTATTTCAGTGTGTTAACAATTACTTCACTTTTCCATCTGCTGTGTATTCGATAAAATGTAGATCCTGTTACAGCATGATTTTATAATTATTCATTTATTCCCTATACCCAGCAGAGGAATAACTGCAGCAGTTTGCAGTGTGGTCCCTGCTCTGAGTGTTTCTTTGTCTCTGTAACTTCATCTCTGGCTTGGCAACATCTGCTGAGAGCAGGCGATGAGAATCCTCAGCATTGCCAGAACGCAGGCCAGGAAGCATCGGAAACTCTTTCCGATCTGCTGGCTGGATTATGACATGAAAGCCAACAAATGCAGCCTGTGTGTGTGTGTGTGTGTGTGTGTGTGTGTGTGTGCTAGGGGAGGGCTCCAATTACCTGAGATCCTCTGCAGATATCACAGTGCCTGTGATACTCTCATTCAGTATGCGCAGTGGAATCGCGGTGGCACCGATCATATGATTTGGAGAGTCAATCCTGAGGCAGCACTAGTGAGGAGGGGAGGTGGCACCGAGACACTCGGTTCAGACAGCGTGAGGCTGCGAGCAGCACTCGGATTGCATTCAGCAGGCAGGAGCAGAGCTGGAAAACCACAGGAAAGCTTTATTCCTGGCCAGTCTGCCTTTTGTCAGGATGCGCTGCTGGTGCGAGTAGAGGAAAGGAAACGCGCTGCTATGTGTGATTAAAAGGTGAAGGCAGTGATAGAGGCAGAAGATCGCTGTGAAACTCCTTTGATAACCACCTGGAGAGTGAATTTTACCTCTGGAGAGTGCTGGTTCCAGCTAACTGTCTGGAAAGTGTGATGGAAAGGATGCATGTTCCAAGGAAGCTTTTCACTGACAGCAGAGCAAACTAGAGGAGAACTTTTACCTGCATTCCTGGCATTTGGGAAAAATAATATAAGAAAGAATTCTCTGCCAGGATTCTTTTTTTTTTTTTTTTTTCTTTCTTCACAAGTCTTGGAGAGAGATTTTGTAGTCTCCTCCTGACGAAAACACCAAGCAGAAATCAGAATTCTACAGACTTTCCAAAGAACAGGCATGGTACAAAATGTGATTTTGGTGTTTTTCCGCAGGCGACTCAGCCAAAGACCCGCTGTTGAGGAGCTAGAAAGAAGGAATATACTGAAACGTGAGTAATTTTTCTTCCTAAAGTATTTTATGTGTGTTTGTTGAAATCAGTGATTGCATTTCCAGAATGTATTATTTTTAAATAGACAAATTAATTCACTGGGATCATTTTCTGTACCTAAAAGTTTTAATTTTTCACAGACTTGCAATTTTAGGACAAAAAGAACCGTTCAGCTTCAGGCTTTGAAATAATTTTCATTCTGATTGCAGTGTTACTGGTGTCCAAGAGGGGAATACAATCCCAGTGTCACAGTGCCATGAGAATTGGGGTGATAGTTTTCAAGACATGGATTTTCAAGGCAAACACTGAATTGCACTGGCAATACAGTGGAAGGAGAAAGCATCCTTGCAGAGATGTGCTTCTCCCCAGGTCTGTTTGTTCATGTCACTGGAGATCTCCCCAAAGCCAAGTCAAAGATCAGCCTGAGAAATCAGAATTATTAGAGGGATAGTCCCAGGCCTGGTATGGGCGCTGCCACAGGGGAGTGTTCTCAGCATCTCTCAAATTCACAAGGCAAAACTTGCAACTCTTTTCCTAAATGTTTCCAAGGGATCAAACAAGTGATGAACATCATCCTTTCCCTTAAACTGCTGAATTAGGGGAAGGTGAGAGACAGCTTTGAAATTGTCTCCACTATGGATCTCAAAAGGGGGAATCCATCTGCTATTTAGTCTCTTTAGCGCTGAAATACAAAACCCAGCAAGATGTGAGCTATAGGTTCTCATTAAACAAACATAAAACATAAAGCCACAGAAATCTGTCACACAAGCATTGCTGCCTACACTGTTTAATTTATGTTTAATCATGTGATTGTAATTCACTAGGAAAAAAGTCATCAACATTGCATTACCTAAAATTTCATGTCTCAGAACTTTCTTAGTGGTTCCCAGGGAAAAGCCTTATGCTCTTGCCATTGAAGTTATCTGGGATTTCATTACAGTTTTCACACAAAGGGATGCCACAGTATAATATGTATTTAGCAGTATTTTGTGTACAGTTCCAATGCACAGATCACACACTAAAATAAGCTCTATTTTGCATGTGCACAGCTCAAGGAGGAAAAGGAAACCCTCTTTGCAACATGAATGGGTGAGCTTGGCCAAACTTCACCTCTCTTCTACCAGAGAGGCAGGAAAATGCAGTAACCCAAGATCCTGAACTATCTGGGGACAGATTTTCAAGAGTCAGTAACCAAGATCTCTGAAAATCTGTTCCTTTGGGTTTTATTCCTGGCTAAGGAAAAGCTGATCTCCACTAAAAAAATCTGTTCCTTTATGTTTACTTTTTTGAAGTGTGCTGGTTACATCCTTAATCTGGGTTAAACTGACCAGTTTTAATAATAAAAAAAGTTTGAATACATTCATATAATGAGCTTAGAGAGAGATAAAGCAGAAAGAAGATAAAGCAGAATTAAAGATAGTTCCTGAATACCAGCTAAACATACTGGTCTAGATTTGTATCTCATTTAAAGAGCTCCCAGCATGGAGCAAATTTATTGACTTCTGTTGAGTTGCTCAGGCTTTATACAGGTTCAGCTGGGATCAGAACCACTTCCATTTTATTTACCTCTGCCATTATATAAAAGCTGAGTATCCTGTATAGCTGTAGCAGTGTAAAAGCCCTCCAGTGAAATCTCCACAACCTCCTCCAGGTCTAGTAAGCGTTTGTGCAGTTTTAAGTTGCACATTTCCCAACATCTTTGATGTTCATAATTGGTACTGCTGACAGAAGTTCTTTTATGGACTCAGAATTCACATTTGTACAACTCTGGTAAAAAGAGAAGCATATAGCAAAGTAAAATTATTGTCACTTTAAAGCAAATCTCAGCAAGATTTCAAAAAGTGATTTCTTGTCTCCTTTAGGGAGTTGTTTCTGAGATAAAAGTAATACTTAAAAAGCAAACTTAAAGCCAGCACTTTCTTACAATTTTGTTGATCTTCCAAGTCCTTTAACCATAGAAACACTTCTGGCTTCCCACCAAGCATGAGAAACAAATGAACTAAAATCACAGCCCAGGTGTCAGATGTGTCCTTGCTGCACTGCACAGAAAGCTGAACTCACAGCCAAGAAGGCTTCTCTTGAGCCCCACTGTGGAATCCCTGCTTCATTTGGAGCCCAAGGAGATGCTGTAGTGTCACGCAGAGCTGAGAGCTCCCTGAGGGACTGGCAGAGCTCAGAATGAGTTTCAGCTCTGCACAGGCCCCCTCAGAACTGGGAGCTTCTCTGCTGAGATTTACAAAACCAGCCCTCAGCAATGAATGGATTTGTGTGGGCAGAATGATGGTGATGGGAAAAGCCTCTCTGGGTTGTCTGAGTAATAATGCCTGAGTTCTAGTATCCCTTGCCAGCATTTCATATCAAATATCAGGTTATTTTTTTTTTTGTAAAAGAACTATTTCTTTTACATCTTGGAGCTGGAAATGAGCACTGAACCCAAGTGAATAGAAATAAGTTACTACACATTTAGTATATTTGGAAAAGTATTTTTTGATCAGAAATGTGTATTTTTGGCTTTTCTTTGGGAATTAGAATCATAGAATCACAGAAGGGTTTGGGTTGGAAGGGACCTTAAAAATTATCTTGTTCCAACCTCTGCCATGGGCAGGGACACCTTCCACTGGACCAGGTTGCTCCAAGCCCCATACAACCTGCCTTGAAGACTTCCAGGGATGGAGCAGCCACAGCTGCTCTGGGCAGTTCTCTCCCTGCATATCATATAATATCTTTAAAAGGCACTACACCACAGAAAAACATCTATTTTTAATTAACAAAAAAATACAAAATAGGAATATCTACTCTAAAATGAGTGAATTAAAGCTGAATGAATAACTTGCAGGCATCTCTCTATCTAAGAATACCCTCTACTTTTGAAAGCCTGTTCTCCTTTTACACATTGCAGACTGAAATAGCTGCTCATCCCTGACACAGCACTAATTTTAGCTGACCTGTTCTCTTTACATTTTGTGCCTTGCCACTGAACTGTAATGCAGCACTTTATAGCATTTTAAATTCATTTGATTTACATTTCTACCCTAGCCAGGTGGAGCTGTGCACTACTGTTATTTTAAATACATTTGATTGCATCTCAGTGCTGTCTAATGAGTGCAAAAATCAGGGAGAAAAATGCTTCATTGTTAAAAATATCTTGGAAATCCATCTGCAGCGCTAGTTGGTTTTGGAGGCATAGTAGAAATCACGTGTGTGCTTTAACACTGGAAATATCTAATGCAAGTGGCATAATAAACCTCACAGTAGTACCCAGAGAATCCCTGAATGGTTAAAACCTTTTTCTCTGGCTCTGCAGCTTTGTTCAGGTCACGGGCTCACGCCTTAATTTAGTAACAGATAGTACTGGGAATAGAAACGCCATTTACTCGTTTCCTAAGGCAGGGGATCTATTTCAGTGTTACAGCACTCGGGGCTATTTTTAGAGCCAGTGTGTAGGAGTTCTCACGGCTCGAATGTTAATAGGCACAACACACAAAGACAAGGGGGCTGAGCTCGGAGCAGAACGCTGCACTGGCACCCCGGGAGGAGAAAGGGGTCTCACGGCAGGGAAAGCCAAGGTGCAGGTCAGTGCCAGGAGAGACGCAGCCGGAGAGAACACGACTGACGGGCTCTCCCTGGAGATGCTGCAATGAGGCTGCTCAGCATCTGACAGCATGAATGGCTCCAGCAATATGCAGAGTGAAAAAAGACCATCGATCGGCTATGTAGTGTTTTGATTTTCCCTCTGAAGTTTATCCGAGTGGAGTGTTGGTGCGGCTGCTGTTGTCTCAGTAAAGGCCCGTGGAGTTCAGAGCTGACACTGGCACCAGCCCGGTGTCCTCACACAGAGGTGACTCCGTGCTCCAGCACACATCAGAGATGCACTGAATTACCAAAACACACAATTACCAGCTGCTCGTCTGGCTGTGCTCATTAGTGCCTGGAACTGTGGAAAACACCAAACTTCCTCATGAGGAAAGTCATCCTTTTCTTTATATTCTCCGCAGAACGAAATGATCAAACGGAACAGGAAGAGAGAAGGGAAATCAAGCAGAGACTGACGAGAAAGGTAAAATCTTGCAATACCTGCTATTAACTTTTAGAAATTTAGAAAAATTACTATAATATCAACCAGCCATAGAGGTCGTTATTACTCCCTTAATATACATCCTCCTCAGCAGTGTCTGATAGCAGTGTCTGGGAATACGAATTACAGATATATCTACTTTATCTCAGCTAGATGAGATTTAGTAGAATATTTACATACAAACTTACTCAGAAAATGGGTGTTTGTTTGCACACTGCATACTTGTCAGCTCCATTGCTGGAAACGGACTTTTTCATTCTTTGTAGCAGAGCTGACTCCCTGCTGAACACCAGGTCTGCCCCCATAGTACATTTCTTTTTGCATTTAAAATATTCTCAGAATAAGAACGAGATCGTGTTGTTCTGTTCATAGAAATCCCTAATGGAATTACGGACCAAATATGCTGATAACTTATTAAAGCCAGACTGAAATTCTTACACTGGGTCTAGTGCTGAGGATCTCACACAGACAATCTGCCCCTGCTGTAGCAGAACATCCTACAGCATCCAGAATCATCCAGAGAGCATAAAAAAATCCATCATGATTCTTTCACATTTTGAAAATACATTTTATCAATATCTGGGTAAAAATATTTTCTTTTTTTGTCCATGATAAAGGCACTGTTCTGTAGCCCACAGTTCCATTTAAACCATTATTACTCCCCCAGAAGTCTTCCAAATGATGAAATATTTCCCTGGACTTTCCAAGGGTTGGGTGGTTTTCCATGTGTCAATGCACACTGAGCCAAGATGAAAAGCAGCAAATATTGCATTTTTTACTGATTCATTTGTTATTAACCCTGGTTTTATTTCACAAAACTTCTGAATCCAGCTTAACCAGCGACCTACAGTTGATGAACTGAGAGACAGAAAGATCTTGATTCGATTCAGTGATTACGTGGAAGTGGCAAAAGCACAGGACTACGACAGGAGAGCGGACAAACCATGGACACGACTGTCAGCAGCAGACAAGGTACTGGCAAAACCACAAAGTTCTGCTTCCTCCTTGCTTTGTCTGTAATGATACATCACGTTCTCAACAGACTTTAATCTCTGCAACATTACATCTCTGTAAACTTTACTATGATTTTTTATGTTGAAATCATACCAGTATCATAAAAACACCTGTTTAGTACTCAAAAGGCTTCTACCCACCCACCTAAAAAGGTGGATACAATTTTTTGGGCTCCAACTCAAAACAATTTCCAACCAATAGAGTATTAACCTTTATTCTCAGACTGGAAGTTTTGTCCCAAATGTGCAAAAATGTCCTTTCCTGTTTCCTGTGAATGCTCAAGGAGTCACTGGACCCACATTCTCCTGAGCATGAACTCTCATTTTGTCCCATCACATACCTGCCATGTAATTGATTTACAGCCCAATTTAAGTGTCACATTTAGTTGCTTGAGTAGTAAGAATAGTTCACCATGATTCCAGCCAGACCAGCTGGGAAGTTTCAGGGCTGCAGGAAGCAGGAGCAGGGTGCTGAGACAATTACTGGCAAAATGGCAAACACAGGACTGTTAACATGGCTTTGTGCTGAGATGTGGATATCAAACGCTTTGGTTTCCATCCCAGTGTCTCCCCAGTAAGGGACAAATGGGTTTAGAGGACCCATAGAAATGGAACAGAGTGTTTCTACTCCAGTAGCTGCTCTCCCAACTCTCTAAAATGGTGAATAAGCTACTCCATACTAATCAATGGAATAAGGATTTTATATTTTCCTTGTATGTACTTTTATTAAAATTCGATTTTTCCTGGTTTTACTGTTTCAATGTTCATGTTTTAATTAACAAAGCAGGTTTAAGAAAGTGACAGTTCTGCACATACTGGTGGCACACATCAGGAAGTCAGGGTCAGAGCTGCACTTTTGTATTTGTGACTGAAAAATGGATCAATTTCTTGGCAGCTTCTCTTAATCTTTAATAAATTTTAACTGGAATCTTATTAAATGTGAGACAACCAGCCCTGAGGTGTTATTCTGTCAGAATTGCTTCTAGACAGCAATGACCCTGTCAGCAATCAATAACAAATGAGAAGTATTGTGTCACCAATCCATACAACCCAAATATTCAGCATTTCTACCAGCACACAGTACTCTGCTGTACCCAATACCTGGTCCTTCTACCTCAGAAAACTGTTCTGCTCTGCAGGTCTAGGATTTTGCTCACAAACACAGAATTATTTGTTTATGTTTTTCTCTTTTCAATTCCTAGGCAGCAATTCGGAAAGAGCTGAATGAATACAAAAGTAATGAAATGGAGGTTCATGCATCGAGCAAACATTTGACAAGGTCAGTTTTCCAGTTGATTATTTCCACTGCCTGCTAAAAACTCTGCTTTAGTCCTGAACCTGTGGATTTTACTCTTACATGCTGTATGAGAGAATATTCAAAGGGAGGTTAATATTAAAAGAAAATTGGAGCATTTCTCTTCCTTAAGAGAACCCAATTTTCTGATTTTTTGAGGGGCTTTTATTAGCACATACTAAGAAACCTGCAGACATTCTGCAGAGCATCCCTCAGCTGGCACTCCTTGCAACAAAGATTCAAAGATAGGTAAAAAAAAAAGATATATATATATATAAAACAGAAAACAATACGATTTTTTAAAGTAGGACAACTTAATACACTGTATAAAAATCTCTGAATTAAATGTACTTGAGTCTGCAGCCTTATCACAAACAAAAATTCCCTGCTCAGAAATACAAAACTGCACCGACCACAACAGGCCAGTGCCCAGGGGTGATGCCTTTGTTGTAATTGGATTTCTTCTAAAGGATTCAGCCTGGGGATTTCAGTGTTCCCTGTCAGTGCAGCTGCTATTGGAAGGAGAAAGCTCCAGGTAACTTAATGACACTTAACTCCCTGGCAGGAGGAGGTCAGGAGAGAGAACAGGTCTGGGTTGCTGTCACTCTCCACGTGATTGGGCCACTGGGAACCTGCTCAGGGCAGTGCCTGCTCCAGGTGCCTGGACTGCGTTTAAAAACACATAAAAACATTAATTTCCCTTCTTTAAATGGAGAAACAATATGAGAGGCTGATTCCATGGCCACTGATACTTGCAGAAAGGCATCATTAAGGGCAAAGCAGCTTCACTGCACTGATGGAATGAAATGTGGGAAGGGAAAAGGGATGGCTGCAGTTTCAGTCTGGAGTGAGCTATACATTTCCTAATTGGAGCTACCTGGGGAGTTTGAGGAGATGATAATGAGAGATTTTGAAATTTGTTCAGGATATTGGGAGTAAACAGGCTTCCAATTTACAATTAGTGCTAGAGCATTACAAATGATTGGGGCTTTAATTACGGATCTCAGCCAAAAGAACAAGGCTACAGAACAAGAAGAATATTTATTTCAGACTCACAAGTCTATCAAACATTTCACCAACAGTATCTCCTCATACTTTATGAAGCATTTCAACATTGTTGAACTCTTAAAAAAAGAACAAGATCACTGCACAAGGAAGAATACTGCTACCCATGACTAACTGTGGCTTCATTTACTAAAAGAAAAAACCCACATCAACTACATACCTGTATTTGCAGTAGCATTCCCAAAGAAATGTAAACAAGGTACACTGGGCCCTGAGGACTGTACCTGCATTACAGCAGGAATGTGCTGGGGAAAATGAAGAGTTGCTAATATTCAGCATTGTCTCTGTGCCTTTAAACAGAATGAATACTTTTGTGGGCCTTTAAAAATTTTGTTAATCTAACATAAAATAATTGAATTCTACTGAAAAATGTCTCTCTTTTCTCCTAGATTTCACAGGCCATAGGAATTTTCTTCTGAGAAGAATCTGTCTTTACTTTTTGATATTGCTGCTGAACATGCATCAGGGAACACTGAAGTCTTTCCCTGAGGTTCAGTGCAGGCTCCCTGGACGTTGATGTGACAGAAGGACTCTGCAGTGAAGCCTCTGCAGCACTTGGGGACAGGACGCCAGCCCTGAGCTCTGGAGGCAGAAGAGTCTGGCCTGTGGAGTGGGACAAGCTGCTGAAAAAGACTGAAGTGAAGCTACTTGGAAGAGCCTCCTCCTCTCCTTTGCCACCTGTGTGGAACTGGTTTGCAGCCTGCCTTGGAAAAGGAGATGTTGTGCATGTACAGGCTTTACCATTCCAAGGCCTCTGACATAAACGGACATGACACTCTGTCATCCAGTATTATGTTGACAAGACATTTTGAACTTACCACAATTAGTTTGTAAAACACCTAAGTTCATGTTCTAAAAACTAATTTAATGTATTATAATTTCATTCTTTTTTATATACTGTCTAACAGAATCACAGCTGCAAGCATTTTTGATTCCTGTTACTTTTGTTCTTTAATTAAATGACTACTTATTGCAGGAAATGAACATGTTTCCTAAAGCTCTTTTTTTTTCCCAGGGATAGTTGGGAAGAGATTATAATTATTATACACCAAACCATTTGATTTCATCAACACAGAGTCTGCAAAAGGATGATCTCAACTAAGGTTTTCCATCTTGTGGAACAGCATAAGCTGGTTCTCACTCTGCACCAGTTGAGGCTCTGTCCCCCTAAAAATGGCAATTTGGTTCACTGTTATTCAAAATTACCAAATTGGACAACCAGAGGCAGAAATGTAACAATGTACTTTGATGTTAAGCAAACAAATGCTTTTTAATGCTTTTTTGACAGTAAGAAGAAAAAAGTTACTAAATGCTAATAACACAGCAAAGAGAACAGGTTGAGAAAAATGTAAAGCCAGACATTTTAATAATGCCTGACATGGTGAAGCACCTGAGGATTTACTTGATACTACTAAAAAAATACTTGTGAGAAAAGTAACACATTGATAGCTGGAAACCACACCTGATGAGACAGAACAAAATGGTGAATCTACTCACAAGACAAACATTTCTCTGCAAGACTGAAGTGTGGCCATTCTAGGGAGTCATTCAGTGTTAAAAACCTGAAAAAGGCACTCTTGGTCCTATTGCTTCATTGAGATGATCTCCATGAAGTGTGAAAATAATAAAATGCAGTCTGTCAAAGTGCTTGTATGGACTGAATTGCTGGGAGGTGGGAAGAGCCCCCACACAGTGTCAATTCTGTCCCAGCTGGGGATGGAAGCACAGGAACTGGAGCTGCTCCTGGAGGAACTGTCAGGCAGGAATGGAAGGTAAGGACACACAGTGCAACACAAAGTCTGTAGCAGTGCAATGGGAGAAGGAAATAAGGACTCCTGGGAGAGGCTGTGTCAACATTTTCATGCTTGTCTTGACTATCAGCTGAAGACTTGAATGACCCCATCACTTGATCCAAAGATGTGCTTTTCCCTCTTTATTGTAATATTTTAACTTGTTGGCTTTTTACAGAAATATGTAACAGCATAACTAGCCTTTTAACATACATATATCTATCACTTTATTATTAATAATATAGGATTAATTCTTAACAACAATATAATGATAGTCCAGGTGCAATATACAAAAAGTCTCGACAGAAGGGAGAGCAAAGTTCCTTCAGCAGAAGCAGCATTTTCAGCTTGAGCAGAGCAGATGAGCCACGGTTAACTACAAACTAAAGTTGACTATAATCCACGTACAGTACGTCCTGTTCAGCAGGGATACACACTTCCACTGGCAATAAATATAAAACACATTAAAATTATGTTGAAAAACATAATGAAAAATATTGTAAGGGTAACTTAGAGCAGCTTTTAAATGTCAAAGAGTGCCCCTGAGCTGTGTCACTGTTGCACCTGGGGTAGCTCTGAGTGGTTCCTTCTTAGCCAGCCCAGCCTCTGCTCTGCTCCTGGAGGAGGCACAGCCTGTGACAATTCTAGAGCTGCTGGCCCCTGGCACTGAGCACTGCCTGCCTGCTGCTGGGGGGGTCTGTGAGGGTGTCTGGACTCCCTGGGCCATGGACTCTACTTGGTTCCTGCTGGAATTTGGGATCACACCTCAGAGGGCACATTTGGCTCAGGGAGGCTGTTCTCGGGCATCATCCTCCCACTGGGAAACAGGCCTGCAGTGCCTGTCACTAGCTAAAAACAAGGCAGTAGTATTATTTTTCCCACATGACCTCATTGTAAGAAAGAATTTGGGCCTTTTTTAAAGAATTTTTAAACGTTGTACAGTTTAGGGAAAAGCCCTGTTTCATTCAGATAAAATTCAATCAGACAAGTGAAAAGTTTAACATCTCATGGAGTCCATCTAGTGGAGATCACAGCAAGCACAGGCTCAAAAAAACCCCAAACCACACAAAAACCAGAAGCTCAGAAAACATTTGTACACTGATGTAAATAGGATGAGTGGACCAAATTTTTTACTGGAAATTTCAGTGTAATTATTTCCAGAGAAAACACAGCCTTGTGGCTTTAAAATTCTTACCCAAAAATAATTGCACAGCAGCTTTATCGGACTTCTTGCTGATTTAAAGCAAAATAACAATGTCATTGAGTAAAAACCCCAACAGACAGCATCTGGTTTTCTTTTTTGACTTGTTTAATAGAACTATTTGCAACACAGCTTCAACCCAAGGGTTGAGAGTGTTCTCTCAGAAAATCCTACTGAGGTCTAACAACAAACAAACAGGACTGAGATCAAACCAGGTGGTTTGGTCCCTAAATAATTCCTCTTATATTTTGCATCAGACCCAAAATGTAGATTCAAAGTGAAATTCCAAGTGATTTCTCTGAAAGTTAGTTAAGTAACCTATAACAATTATTAAAGACTTATTTAAAAGTAGCATGTGCTAAAAATAAAATAGCATATTACATTTTAGCACTCAGTAAAATAATTCCAAATCTCACAGGTGAGTAGGTAAGTCTTATGCACTACTTTTAATATTATTAAGGAAAATATGCTTTCATTACAGTAACTTCCTTGAGTGTGACCAAAAAAAAAGAAAAAAGAAATTAAAAAGTTACCAAATTTTCCATTACAGAAGTGCTTATATTCACCTTGAATTTCAGGAAGGAATCTGAAAAATCATTTCAGAATTCTGCCTTTGATTGAAACAAGGTCTGCAATCCCCTGCGAACGTTACACAGCTCCTCTTCTTGCTGTACAAAAAATTTCCATTTATCACTTTTATCACATGCTTTTGGAAAAAGGCAGATTTTATTTAATGTATTGTGATCCTGGTGCACATGCTGCTTAACATATCAAAGATGACACTTTTCAACATTAAGACTCAGAACTAAATGAGACCATTCATGTCTCCCTGTGGCTCCCATCACCCAGGTAAGGTTTTAAATATAAGTCAGTGACATTTGCATTCTGACTAATTTTTGATAGAGGACTAGAAATCAAATTTTAGTAGTTTAGTGTTCAAACCACAAGAAATAAATAAAAATGAGGACAAGATAAATTTATTTACCGTTTCTTTCAGAAATTTCTCTTGGAGTCCTTTTATGTCTTCTTTCAACAGATGCATCTACAAAAAGACACTGAATTCATCTCCTCTGCTCACAAATGCCTCCTTATTTTCAAGCAAACAATGATATCCCTAACTATGTCATAATCAAGAGATTCAGATGCACATGCAGCCAACTGCCTATGGAAAAAGATGTTTAAAATTTTTTTTCTTGGATGAGTAACACCAATAAACAAAGTCACAGAACTGAGAATAAATCCTGATAACTGCACACACCTTGCAATGGGTGAAGTCTAGGCATAATAATGTGAAATTAAGGGACATTTTATGGCAAAAGATAAAAAAAATATTATGTATCATTAATATAATGCTGAGGACAAAATCTTCAGGAAAAAGGTCAATACTGGTATCTGTGGGTACAACTGAGGAATTATTAAAATGAGCAAAACAGAAGTTCCATACCTCTGAAGTAAAAACATCTTCTTCATAGTCAACAGAATGGTAGATATTCTTTTCAAAGGAAGTTTTCAGAATCTGAATTCTAAAGAAATTAAGACAGTTCAAACAGCTTTGCTACATAAGAGCTTCCCATACAGTGCACAAATACACATTAAGCACATTGCTGGGAGTCTATTTGCATTTAAAGCACAGGTAAATATCCCCATCATTGTTACTGCTGGAACAGTCTCTCAGGTATGTGGAGAAATTTAGCTGGAGAATAATTACATGAACATTTAAATTTAATTTTCTCATCAATCAACTCTCTTTTATGGAAGAAGTTGCAGAAAGGAGTTGTGCTGATCTCCCTCAAGTGAACAGAACACAAATCTCATCCCAGGATTAGAGAACCCTACTGACCTCTGCTGCTCATTCTTCATGTACGTACTAAAAGTGTGGGAATGCTTTTTCCAAAAGGTCTGCAAAGAAAAATATTACGAGATGCTAATGAATAGGAGCTGATTTTTCCAAACTAAAAGTCAGTAATTTCTATTATGAACAAAAACTCAACACAGAAGAGGCAGGAGTTACACAGCCCCCACATGAGCTGGAAGAACCCAGCCCATTAAAGTTTATTTAATGGAGAAGCTTATTGTAGGAGGAAAAACATACAGGAATTCACATAGTGGATACATGTAGGAAAACACAGAGTGACCTTGGGATTCTAAGCATATCCTGACACCCCAAAAGTATTATTTGAAATTGGACCCAACTAGAAGCAAAAAAGTAAGGGCTTTGAAAATCCAAATTAATAGTATTAAGTTAAAGATGATGTGAATGATCTACAGATTCTACAAGAACTCTTTTTTACCCATGATCAGACAACTACAATACAAACCGAGAATTCTTTTTCCATGATCTTCAGGGACTGAGAGTCCTTTTCAAACTTCTCAAGTTCCTCAGTGAGAGTAAAATGAAATTTGTCCAACTGCCTGATCCTACCAAAACAAATCGGGTTACTTACAGAAGGTATTCATGGCATTGTAAGGATGTTTTAAGAGAAACTGACCTGCATTCATGGAGTTGGTAACTCACTGTTGCCAAATGCTCATGGGCAGCTTTCAGTGTTTGCTTATTAAAATTATCCATTTTCCGGGAGCGGTTCTAAGAGGATGTTTTAACATGAAATTCAGATTATTTGCATTTTAGGGAAAAAAACCCTGTAATATGTTCAGTACTGTAACTGCTTAATATCACAACAAACCCCCTTTTAAAAATGTAATAGTGTGGTGTAAGCCAAGCTGTCACCCATGCACTCTTGTATCCCCCAAGTGATGGACGTGAAGGGTCTTGCCTCAATTTTCTTGGTAAATTCTTTCTGGAGCTGTTGACAAATGCTGATGGTTGAGCAATCAGGCCCCCAGAATTCCCCATCCAAACCAGACAGGTCATTTACAGATTGAGTGGAGATACTTTCAGACACTGAAGAGAACAAAAACATAATGTCAAATTCAGTATTATAAAGTCCCCAGTCTGATAGGAGAGCTTTTGTTCTATATAAATGTCACCAATTAGGTGGCTGAAACCAGTTTCTATTTGCATATCAATTTTCTGACTTCTTATATGGATCCAGTCTTTAAATATTTAGCATTTTTTATTTTTTGCTTTAACATGTAAAATGCCTTTTTATGGATATTCTGTTTCCTTGTTAAAACTTGAATTGGTCACATTCTTTTAAAACTTTGCACTGTCAGTCCATGACCAACCTCTGTAAGCAGCATCATCATCTGTTTTAAATAATTTTTTGGGCTGTAAACTTTTTCTTCTCCTTCCTTTCTTTTTCTCCTCTTTGCTTGTTTCTGCCTCGTCAGAGCTGCTTTCTGTGGAACTGTGATAAGTTCGTTTGAAGAATGTCTGTACGCTTGGTCCTTCAATAAACATGGAAACAGTGCTGAATTTTAGCATTATTTAGAACAATGAGATGGAAGGATGAAGAAGATTTTATTGACACCCTGGATGCAAACTCTAGGAGCATGTACCTTGGATTTAGAACATGAGAATGATATAGAAATTAATAACCATTACATTTACAGAGGGTACGTTTAACTGAACTCTGATGAGCAAGCCTGGGATTTTTTCTGATAAAACCATTATCCCAGCATTGGTAGGAATGCTAACTTTTTATTTGGAGCACAACTAACTTTACAAAAGTTGTATTTTGGAGCCTGATTTTCAGGTTTTTTGGGATAATTAAAACAGCAGAGAAAAAGAGTAAAAAATGGAATAATACTGAAAATATATAAAATATAATAAGATTAAAAACTTTGGCCATATTATTATGCCAAATAAAACATTTTTCTTAATCCTTATGGAGACACATAGGAAGTATTTTGCTTTAAATTAGATGTCTGTACCTGACTCATTCATGAGGGAATAAGGTTCTTTAGTCCAAGGCTGTACTCTACTCCTGCTGGAAGCACACAATGGGGATGGTGCTACACAATCCTAAAAGAAAAGTCATTGATTTATTCATTAGCTTCAAAATTAAATTGCTTTTAGAAGTCTCCATCAGAAATTGATGTTTTTTATGTTGTGAAAAATAATTTATTTTTATTGGAAGTCACTAAGAGAATATTTACTCCCTGTTATATTTTTTAAAGTATGAATTATAGGTGATCTTGCTGGGATATAATTCTTTAATTGTATCCATATGATCAACAATTATCTAATTTATCTCCAATATTTAAAAATGAACTATTAGCAGGTCCCAAAATTTGTGTTAAATACTGAAATGCACTTCCCTTAAACCTCAGCACCGGGAAATGAGATAACAGAGATCCTAAGCTGCAGCTCTCTTCTGGAGAGGAAGGAATGTACTAACTCACCTCTTTACTTTTGGTGAGAGGTTTGGTGGGATCCTGGAGTTTGCCTTTAGCACAAAGTGTGTCCGAAGAGCAAGATTGGAGACTTGAATCCTCATTGTTATTCTCTGTTTCCAGCACAGCTCCCTTTGCATGTTTTCCACTGTCAGCTTTATACATTGTTAAGCTGAGCTACACATTAGGGAAAAACATCATTATTGAAAGGGTATGTCCCTTAAACCTGTAAATTGTTAAAGCAAAGGGCTGCAGGTCTCTTCTGAAGAGCAAAGAATTTAGGAACATACCTCTTCCTTATTTTTGGGGACAGGTTTAGTGATATCCTGAAGCTTTCCTTTAACAGAAAACGTGTCTGAAAAGCAACATTGGAAACTTGAATCTTCATTCTTACAGGCTTCTTCAGCGGTTCCCTTGGAATTTTTGCCACTGACAGTTTTAAACGTGGTTAAGCTGAGCTGCACATGAACAAAAAACCCCAAACATTATTGAGAGGAGAAGCAAAAAACAGTTGGCAGCCAAATGGAACAATTTCAGTTAAAACAACACTAGAGAAAGGTTAATGCTCTTACCAAAGATTCTTCAGTTAAAACTGGTGAGAAGCTTTTCCTTCCAAATGTCAACTTTGTAACTCCTCTCTCAGGGCTCTGAATTACATCCAGACTTTCCATACTCTTGTTTTGTGGACAGAAATTATTGGGAGAGCTTCCTTTTTCAGAGTTTAGCATTTCCCTGTCTTCTGGTATTGAGTCCTGCAGACTCAACCTCTCACTGGAGCTGTGCTCTGGACTGACATCTCCTGACACTCTCTCAGCACCTGGGAAACAGTTCCTGCACTGTCAGCTCCAGCAGTGGGAGTTACAGAAGGGCAGCCAAAGCCCCACACTGCTCCCTTCCCCAGCCCTGGGAACATCTAAGTTTCAGCTGTGTGGAATCTGGCACAGGCCTTGCCACACTTGCCCCCTCTCCCTCTGCCTCTGTTTCAGCAGGACCAGATTTATTCTAACACTGACATACAATACTTTCTCTATTACCCTGATGTCAAATTTACTTGCACCAGCCTACAGAAGTGTTAGTGACATACTAATACAATTCCTTAAATTATGTAGAACAACTGGAATTATGGGATATGTCATTTTACAAGCATGAAAAAATTGTACTGCTGTGATAACCCTCAGTTAACCTCCACCTCTTGACTCAGTACTGCTAAAATTAAAAATGGAAATACCTACATCTTATTGTCTCAATGGAGGCAGGGCTCTCAGCTGAAGGCATTTCCACTTCTTTCTGCTCTGCAGAATTCCTGGATTTGACCAGTGCTTTCTGCACATAGCTATCCACTCTCTTTGGCTCCACAGGTACAATCTGCAGAACCTTTGGCAACTTGTAATCCTTGTCTGCCCCATTAATATGTTTCTATTAAAATACAAAAGTTATATAAACATCTTTGTTACCACAGTGTCCACAAAAGCTGATAAAGAGAGATTTATTATCTACATATCACTGATTAAGCAGAAGGACCATCATCAGAAGTACTTAAATCCATAAGCAGATCAGGTTTTCCAACATCAATAAACACTGAATTTCTTTAACACATAAATTTCTATTCTTATGAATTACTTAACTACTGGAGGCAATTACTGATGTTTCAGGATTTAATGAATGAAGTTTGTAAACTTTTCCATATATATTGATGTGTTATGGTAAAACAATGAAAATATTTTAGCAACCAATGTTCCTTTACTAAAAATCCATTTGGATATTCAGGCAAATGTATTGACACAGCATTACCAGCACCACATCAGCTCAATGAGATTTGGTTCATTAAACCCTCCCATTGAAGGACATTTTCAAAGTATTGTCACATTTTCAAAATACAGCACACAGTAGTTCATTGCAACTGAATAAATCTCATAAATAGAAACCAGAATCTATTATGACTAAGAAGATTATTTAGGACTGATTTTCTTAGCAGCTCAATACTCAACATTAAAAAAAGGGGCAATATTAAATATAATAAAATTAACTTTAATTTGCTTATCTTGGGCACTTAAAATTCATGAGTACCAAGTACAAAGCAGAGAAGAGTTAACTTTGAAAAACATAGCAGGAATGGATTTTTAATAACCAAGTGGAATTGCACACCTGTATTTTGGATTTCTCCTCCTTAAAGGTGCATGTTGGAATGTTTTCTTCAATCTCAGACTCAGAACTAGAAGGCTCTTTGTAATTTTTTGTTGCTGCTGCTCTTCGAGGGAGTTTTATTCTGGTGGATTTTACTATCATTTCATCTGTTTTTGAATTCTGTGGTTTATATTTGTTTATCTTTGGAAGAAGAAAACCATCTTCAGTTAACAAGAATCATTAATACATACATAAGATAAAATGGCAGATAACTTGGTTTAATTACTTGAAACTAAAAAGGTTTAGCTTCAGCAAAGCTCAGAGAATCCAACCATCAGCCACCAATGTAAAAAATCATTCTAACTCATAACTGACAAACCAGCTAAATATTATATGGAAAGAATACAGTATTTTAAAAGAATCAACTGTATTTAAAAAATTATCCGGGAGAAATGTCATATATTTACGAAAAATTACTTTAAAGCAGTTTCTGGGGGGAACTAAGAGATTTTTAATCTGTATTAAAATTCTAGTTACATTTACCTTTTTCTTATTTGTATTTTTGTCTTTAGCTTTATCCATGTGGTAAGCAGGTTTAGAGGATTTATCTGCTGCTACAATACAAGAAGGTTGAAAAATCAGGAAAATATTCAAATGTTTGACATTAATTTTAGCTGTAAAACAACAGAATGACTGTCATGCCCACAAATGGATTGATTCAGTAACTGCTTTCTGCCCATTATTTTGAAGAAGACATTTTTTTAATTGACAACAACTTGTACCTATCCCATCTTCCCACAGTTTTCCACATTAAAACACAGAAATTGTGTAAATTTATTTTTATAAATTATTAGAACTAATTTGAAAATTCTTTATGTTTGGAAACAAGACAACAAAAATATATGGTATTTGTAACACAGCACATGCCATGCTGTGCACTTCATATCTAGGGACAAACTTACTGCATCACTCTTCAGAAACATGAAAACAAAATTCTTACTTTTGTTTGTGCTCATTTGTTTCCCTGATTTTTTACTTCTACTGTAGTCGATTATCCGGGCTTTAGGTTTCCTCTTGGATTCCTCCAGCCAGCTAATCTCTGTCTTGTTGTCATCCCCTTTGTTTTCTGTGTCTGAATCACTAAAGAGATGCTTCTTGTCTCTATTGTTTCTAGTCTATAAATCAAAAAAAGCTCATAAGTTATTGATTAATTTTTATACATAGTCTACTTACATAATTGGTATTTAAAGGTAGGAGGACAAGCTATGCTCATCCATAAAAATCTGAGCCTTACCTTTTTTCCTCCCTTCCCTTCTGTGCTGGATTTACTGATGGTTGTGTTCCTTAATTAGAGAAATAAAATCCACCTTTAAATAATATATTTTAAAATAGCTGTTCTAAAACTTTCTACTATTCCCTGATATCTGGATTAAGGATTCAAACAAAGGTACTTACTTTTTTTCCACATTATTTTGGAATTACCTGTTTATCTTAAACCCTAAAGGCTTTGTTTGTGTCCCAGTTATCAGTAGGAGTACACAGTAACAACACAGCCCTTTCCAGGAGGATCATTAACCAAAAACCACCCCACTCAACTCAGGAGTTTCTCTCCCTGTAGTATTCCATGAGGAGAACTATTTCCTTCATGGAACACATCCTTTCCTTTTTATCACCTTCCCAAAGGACCACCATGGAACAGCCTGGGAGAACACAGCAATGTTTATTGCTTCAAAAAACCAACACTGCCAAGATATTCTTGTCATGCAACATTCCCTGGAATATTGTGACTGCCTGCTGGAGAGTGCAGGCTGTACTAGGACAATGAGCAATCAAAACAGGACATCCTACCCTTTTTTGTTTATCTCTGAATGAACACTCAGTTCAGTCACATGCAATTCTTGGATCTAAAAATGCAAATAGAGAAGAAACAAATGAAGGTTTTCATTGGTTACAGAATCTGTACAAAATGAAACAGGCCACCAGCCAGTAATTGCTAAGGAGTTTTTTTTTCTTAGTTATTACACTCAGCAATTAAGGGTCATTAATTTCTATCTTAGAATTTATTTAATAAAGCTGACAGTTAAAACTGAAGCTTTCAGGATCTCAAAGTAATACAAGAGTTCCCACCCACCTGCTTCACAACCTTCCCCAATTTACTCCTCTGAGCCATAAGAAGCAAAACTATCTTTTATCATCATTAGATTTTTTTTTTGCTCAAACAACTGGATAAAGATGTCTTTAAAATGAGGATTAGAAGGCTGCTAATAACATTTTCAGGATAATTTAAAATAATACTCCTAACACAGTGTTTAATTCTTAACTGAGGAAAAACATCATCATAGCCTGAAGTGGCCAGAATCTTAAGATGAAGTATATTGTTCAATATTTGAGAATGCCGGAGGTATTTACAAGGCAAACTTTCTCCCCACCTTAGTTCACTGATAAAATTTGAATTTTCAGATCTTAATTATACTTTCAGTAGACAACATTTGACTTATTTCCTTTCTAGTCTATTCATAAAATAGAAATTTCAGTTATTTCTTACGCCAAGCTTGATTGTAGGCCCATCAAACCCGCTGATGTTAAAGTTGTAGGCATCATCCCTGTCAAACAGACACAGAGATCAATTTTGTGACTGACCTAATGAACATTTCACAGAGTCAGGTGTGGGTAATCAGAAATTGTGTGTGAAAATGTTTTAACTACTTACAGAACATGACTAGTAGTTATATTGAGGAAAGAAGCAGTTTTTGTGGTCCTGTCCTGAACTTCTTCCTATCCATAAATGAAAAGTTAGCTCCTCTGTCAAATTTGAACTGTACATTCATAGATACTGTCATCTCAAAAAGCAACTTCTTCATCATGAAGATAATCAGGTTGATTAACAACAGTTCAATATAGCAAAACATGTCTGCAGTCAATGAATAATTAACATTAATGTCTAGAGATACTTAATATAAGTACAAGAAAGAAATTTCCCTTTACACCAATTGACTTTCACCTTGTTTGTACATATTAAAAACAATTCCAACAAAAGCACTAATGTGTTACCTTGGAGATCCAGGATTTATTTAAATGTGTCCTAAAAATAAAGATATATTTTGTTAAATACTAATTAGAGTATATGCATTAGAAAAACTGCCTATATAAAAAAAACCCACCTTAACAAACCCAGTAATTTTATTTATGCATTTAAATACAACATCAATTAAAAGATGGATTAAAACAGCCCAGCCCCTTTCATTTATCAGCATTCATGGGTACATCACAGAGACAGCCAGAGGCACACAAAGACTCAGCACAAAAGGAAATAGTTCACATCATACCTGTTAAAGCACAGGGAATCTCTTGCTTTGCTCTTCTCACTGCTCTTGTCTCTGTATCTGTCACTGATTTTACTGATCAGTGATTTGGCTGTATCTGCCATTTCTTTAGACTTTGGTTTCTATAAAAACAGTTTAAAACTCAAAACCCAACAGAAGAACAAAGCTGCAAACAGAAGTTCAGGTTCCTAAAAACACCCTAGACTTCATTAAATGTCTCCTAATGGATTAAATTACATTCATTTGCAAACCATTTTCCCTGGCATGACAGTAAACCCACCAACTTTGAAACATCGAAAACTGGACAATTCTCTTAATTGCAAGTGGAAGAAACAAAGGTAAGAAACTCTCACTGTCTTTGACTGTTTTGGATTTGCAGTCTCTTTTCTGAGGAGAACATCAGGGTCCTCTTGTGCAAGATCAGAATGCAAAGATGTGTCAGACACTCCGGCTGAAAGAAATGTTTTAAACCATGTTCAGTAATTTCAATATTTTTCCCTTCTGTATTTAACGATTTCTGTTCCAAATGATCAACACTGACTCTCCACTGAGAATGGTATCACTTTAATCTTCTTGGTTCTGTTTTTTTCATTTGTTTATCTGGAGAAGTACTTCAAAAAGCTGCATAAATGCTTTTTGTTTCACAGCTCTTTCACTACTAATATTAATAAAGGGAAAAACAAGCACCACTGCAAGTTAATTTCTCTGAATCTATTTTTGAGATTAACAGTTTACCAAGTGTGACCATCACCTGGATGGGATACATGTGCCAGTGATGGATTTGGCTTTTGCTTGTCCTCAGTTGTTATATCCTGCTCAGGAAGAGGGAATGTTCTTTTTTTCCATGTTTCAGTTTTATCAAAAGAAGTCTCCAAAAGACCAGGCAGCCTAACAAAAACAACACCATCCTACTGTCAGAACTTGAGTCTTAATTATAATAAAACTGCATCATAAAAATAGGAAAATTATTATATCTTAGGGACATCAAAGCATTTTACTTTGCAAAAAAATATCAATTCTGGCAATTCCTGAAAAGTCTCCCTTCAAAGTGAGTGACAACAATGATTTGGAATACTTTTCCAGTACTTACAAAGGTTTGTTACTTCTCCCAACTGGCTGAGAATCAGGAACAATATCTAATACTTCATCTAAATGAGAAATAATTTTGCTGTCAATTATTATGGCAAAAGAAAAAATTTAAACAATTTTAAAAGTAAGGACTACCAATGCTTGTACAATTACTTGCCCAAAGTTTGCTTTTCTGTGGCCTCTTGTACAATTTTTGAGACTTCTTCAGAATGCATTTGCTGCACAGGAATGACACCCAAAAAGAAATATTAATGCAAGACCATAAGCAGTACAACCTCATAAACTTGTGCTTTCTCTAATGAAACATTCTTCCTTTTTCTCATTTCATGGAAGTGCTGTTCCAGTACCTTCCCATGTATTTTTGCCTGGTACCTGATTTCTTGATCTGGTCTGTTTCACAAAATTCATTGTCTACTGTGCATCTCTGCCCACTCTAAAAAGCACAGTAAGTAACACTGCCAGTTACAGCCCATAAAAGCCAAATAAATGCTCTAAACAAAACATTCTGTATATGAAAGCCTTTTCCAAAGCATGGCTGTATCAAAAAATGCTTCAGAGTCCCATAGTCTGGGGCTTGACTTGAATCTGAGCAAGGCAGACATTCACAACCAGAAACAAGATAAAAACATTATTTTATGGTTATTCTTCAACAGGAAGAAAAAATACTCAAAAATATACCTAAAATGCAGGTCAGTGACACCAATGTAGTTTTGTTTTATAGTAGTGAATGCCTGATCAAATATGCTCTACAAAAACCAATGCTTTAAATGCTGCAAGCTGAAGACAGGATCATTTCACGAGCAAAGCTGAATGTATTCTATGTTTTATGACTATTTCACTATTGCATAATCAATTAGAAATGATTGCATGCACCTTTCTCCAATTATACACAAAGGAAGAACTGAGGTTCCAGAAATAGGAAGTTAATACTGGGGTCAGACTGATGAGTGAATGCAAATTGGGCCTAATTTTGTTAGAGTTCAGTCTAACTTCAAACATGCTAAACCTGCAATCCAGAGGGTAAGAAAACATAATGCAATAAAGTAAAACATACTATTTTCTAAAAGTGACTTGCTAACTGTGAAACTCTAGCTTTTTAAAATATGAATTAGGAACAAATTAAAATATAAATTAATGTTATTCTAAGAAAAAGACTTGGCTGCAGAGGACATGCATACTCCAGGAGGTTCCTGATGGAAATTCTTTGTTCTGCTCTCATTTATTGCATCATTGTCAGACATCTTAGTAGACCTGGTCATTTCCAAAGGCAATTTATATCTCCCTTTAAAAGGAGTGGCTGAAACAAAACAGAGATGCATTAGAATGCCACCAATTCTCCCATTACAATAGGAAGAGTTTTGCCCACTATCACAGCTATTCCATAAACTCCAACAAAATCTGTTTACTTTTGATATCAGCACCTTATGGACCTTTAATAATTCCATTGATTCCAACTCTGTTACATGGAGATTAAGAGCCCACAGACTGTGGATGTCTGGAGGCAAAAGCAAAGCTTGTGACAGGCTGGCTCTGGCAGAAAATAGTTGGTTTCTATTTAAGGACTTCACCGTAATATATTTTAACTGAGATGTCAGCTGGCTCCAGCACCAGCAGCTGCCTGACAGCTGCAGAAGTGCCAGGTGACCCTCAGCTGTTGGGAATGCAGGGCAGCCCCTGTCCCTCACTGTGTCTATGGACCAGGAGCAAGTGGCCCCTAAACATTTCAAGTTCAAAGCATCTGCTCAGGAGATTTTATCATTTCTCCTTTTCATTTCCAGCTGTGCCAAGGATCACAGTTCATGCCTGATTTCAAAGACCATTTATAGTGTATTTTTTACCCTGAAAGCACTTGCAAACTTACATGTGCTGACAAAAGACAGTGGACTCCTTGTGGACACACTTGTAGTTCTAGGAATAAGCACACTTGCTTCAGACACTTTCCTTTTACGGGATGGAGTTACCTTGAGGAACAGAAAGAACTTGACCATAATACACTGATTTAAGGATGACAGCAGAAGAATTCAGAAAATTTACTGCCAAGAGTCTCTTGACACTTCCCATTACTGGAGTGTCAACTGCTGCTGCTGCAGACATCAAGGTAACATGATTTTTATGCAGTTATATTTCGACAAAATATTTTTAAACTGAGATTCATGGTTTTTGTTTTCTAAATTAATTCAATGAAGTCCTGTCATTGGACAGCAATTGGACAAAGCTACAAACTAAGCAGGTTTATGAACTACTGCAAGACACCCACTGCTGCAGAATGAAGACACGGTAACAGTTTCAGTTTTTAGCTTCTCCCCAGCAGTCTCTAAGGCCATACTTGACTTCTCCATACTGGGACATATGAGCACATCCTCAAAATCTTCTCATTAAAGGGAATTCCCAGAGCATCATGGTCCAAAGATCTTTAACAATTCCTTTTTATTTCTGTTGCATTACTGTAGTTTCAAGATACTAACAAATTTTTTAGCAAAAGGATTTTTATAGCTTAGTGTCAAGTCACAAGAAAAACAATCAAACCCTTATTACAGTTCCAACTGTCAAATAAGAAGTGGTTTAGGCTATTAAATATTACAAATATTTAAACTGACATGTATTTTCTCTCTACTCCTTTTTCTTTTGACAATCCTACCTACCTTGGAGGAATCACCTCTGAGTTTTTCTTGGCTGTTGTTTTTACTCTGAGTCCTCAAACTACCAGGAGGTTGCTGAGTTTTGTATTTACTGAGTTTCTCCTCCTCTCCAGATTTTCCTTTCAAACCTGGTGACAACAGACTTTCTGGTAGCAGAACCTATAGAATATTTTAATTTCTTTTAATTTTTATACAATATTTGGATTTTACAATGTTTTATTTTTATAAAAACACACAGAGCAACTTCTTTACCCTAAGTAACACATCACCCGCTGGAGATTATGATAAATCAGGGGTTACAGACTTTTAGTTTGAAAAACTTCCCACTTAATTGCTATTTTTGTTACAAAAATATTTTTTCATATATAAAATGACCCGTCCTGTGCATATTTGTCTGTTTTATTCTACAATTTGGATATTAATATCTCCCCAAAAACCAATACACACATACTAGACGCTGCTTGCCTGGCTTTAGACTTATCTATATTTATTGATATGTTAAAGTCTTTGTTTTTGCTGAGATGATTATAAATTTTGAATAATCAGACTAATTATACAAACCCAAGAAACCACCTCAGCACACTAAGATAGAATACCTGTGATCCACTTTCATCAAAGACAACGTGGACAGTTGTTTTGGCTACTGATGCAGACTGCTTCTTGCTGAAATCCTGCAAAGGGATATGTCAAAATAGACACTTTGCTCTTTTTTTAAACAAGAAACAAAATATTTAAGTCAGAGATCATAAGTGTCTGAAATCAGATTACAGAGAAAAACAGATTCTACAAATTCACAGCAGTTTCATGCCTCATGAGTCACTCAGACTTCAGGACAAAGCAGTTTGTTACAAGCAGCAAGGAGTAAGGTGTAGCTTGCTAAAAATGTTTCACTAAATGAATAAATTCATGAGTGTTAATTGCACTGCATAACAAGACAGCTCATGAATCATTTCTTAAAGTATTTGCAAGAACCAGGTCATGTTTCTGGAAAATTAAATGCAAAATTTGACATTAAAATATGACATTCTCTTTCCAGCCTGGTAATTTTTGTTGCAATTCACTTTCAATCTTGGAATAAAAGAACCATTTCAGGTGACTGAGTTCAGCACTGCTGAGCCCACCACTAAACCCGCATCCCCAAGTGCCACATCCTCATGTGGGGTCTTAACCCCAGTGATGGCACCACTGCTCTGGCAGCCCGTGGCAGGGCTTGACAACCCTTCCAGTAGAAAGATTTTCATAAAACCCAACCTAAATCTCCCCTGGTGCAACTTGAGGTCATTTCCTCTTGTACTTACTAAGCATCTTCCCCAAAGCTTAACATATGATGCAGTTCTGTAACAGTGATGTTAATGAGAAACTCTTGGTATGGAGAGATACCAATAAGCACAGCTGGAACTGTGTGGCAATGAGACATTGAGTTTGAATCAATTAAAAGCTATTCCAAAAAGTGTTTAAATCTTACCTTACATTTATGAAATCCATAAATCTTTATGGTCACATCTTTGATTTCCAAGATAGAATCAAAATATAAAAGAACTTTCCCTCCTTCAATAGTGCCCACAATCATTGGCCTTTTTAGATCAATTGTTAATAATTTCTTTGAATCTTTTTCTGGACAAAGACAAAATTTGAAAAGCAGCTTGATTTCAATTTAACAGCATCTCATATAATCTTTGTCAACACTTGACACTTCTTTGGTTCAGGTACTAATTCCCTCTAATCTACAATAATTTTATTAGTAAAACAATTCAAAATGTAATCTTTTAGAAATACTTATTCTGTATATTATTCCACAGAATTTCCTTTGAAGGTTACTTACTATAGCTGCAGACAAATTACAGGCTACTGTTCTAACAAGTTCAAAAGCAATATTGTTACTTGTCATTGTCTTATGCCTTACTTTGTAATGGAATAACTCTTAAGACATGATTTATAAATTATTTTCCTAAAATCACACCAGCATGTCCAAAGTACAGTGACTGCAGTGCAATTTTGTTCCTGATAAAAACAGATCCTTGATAATTGAGATAATTGAGAATTCTGCTTTGCTAGAATTAAGTCAGTACTTTAAGATTAATCAATTTGAAATTAGATTGAAAATCCAAGTTAGAATACAACAAAAATTTGGAGTTCAAATACCTTCCAGGCTGTACATGCTGACATCATCATCTCGTATAATAACTGTTTCCCACTGAAGATCCTTAAATGAAAAATACATTTTGAAAGATAGAAAAGTACTATATTATAATTAAAAGAAATCCAGTGATCAAAGTAATTCAGTGAGGACAAATCTCCAACTTTTAAACCTCTGTTACACAGAGTGACAGGAACTTGTGCTTCACCACTGCTCACTATGCACATGTTAAACTAATCCCAAACAGCATTAGGAAGTCATTACCATGAAATTATTTGATCTAAATATCAACAAATCTGGATTTCTTTTAGCTCCATCAACACTAGAATGCACAAATAAGTTCAACATGTTGAACATGGGGAAAAAAAATCTGACACACTCCAAGGAATGTGTATTTGCTGTCTCAGGACAACCCAGTGGGAGACAAAACTCGGCTTACTGCATCATCTGCTGCCACATAGAAGGAAATACTTTTGCTGCCAATGTTGAAATCAATCCAAAACTCTTCCAGGTTTTCATCCAATGGTATCTGCAGCTAAAACAAAAAGAGTAATATAAAACAGTAAAAGTAGACAACACTGATTACTATCAGCTAAGAAGCTTCATGTTGGTCTGAACCCTTGAAAAACTTTCAGTCCATGCCTATTTGTATACTTCTGAAAAAAAGTAACTTTCTTAATTTATCTCTATTTTTTTCTTAACTAGAAAGCAGAAAACCTTACCTCATACTTATCAAGAACTGCTGATAAACATGGGAATGTAAAAACCCTGTAAGAAAAGGATATTTTTTTCAAGTATTCTACAATGCTGTAAAATAAATTTTGCAGATCTGAACATAGCAAATGGATTGTGTTTTCACAAACTTTAGAGACTTAGAGATCCCAGCAGTGATTTTTACCCCAAGGAAGTAACATGAAATTTAATTACAACATAAAATCCAGAAAAGAAAATATATTAGCATAAAAAAAAATCAGTTTTACCTCCTTTTGTCTCCAAGCATGCCATTCACCTGGTTAAGAAATTTTCTGCAATCCTATTAAAACATAGAAATTTCTTCAAGAATTGTAAAATGGAAGTTTCCCTCCCCGGAAATATTTTTCATGTGACTTACTGTCTCAAACTCCGAATCTTTAATTCCTTTAAATGCAGTGGACACAAACTCCATGGGAAACCACTGGGAGGCCAGAAGTCCCCTTTGCTTCTCTGACACCATTCTGCACAGAGCTTCTGTGATGGCCGCTTGCATGTCATAGTCTGCAGCACAACATAATTCACAGCAAGAACAGATTTAAATAACTACTGAGATGGAAAATATTATCAGGAAACTGGGATAAGCAGTGCTGAATATAATCTAGATCCCATTAGACCCAAATATGTAACCCATAAAGGAGAATTAGAAAAAGAAGTATGGGAATTATGATGACTAAACAAGTTATTTTTCAAAATGAAACCAACCCAACTTTCCAGAACAGTCAGAGCCACACCAGGTGTTTAAACAAGAGAGAGAAGCTTTCAATTTTCATCTCTCTGAGCTGGGAAATTGCTGGATACCAAAGTGATCCCTGAGGGAAGTTACAGGACTACTACTCAATAGTTACAGCTCACAGCCTCAAAGATTAACTTCTTTATCATCTTTCCCATTTGAAAACTTTTATTCTAGAGAAAACCAAAAATGTCAATGAGTTTTCCATACACTGAACACACAAACATTCCAGGCTGCAGACTGTTTTCATGCAGTATTTGTATTTTTCAGATCACTCTAACCACAACATTCTGTAGCCTCCAAATGCCTTCTCTGGTTCCAAAATGGGTCTGCAACTAATTTTTAAGAAGTTCAGTACTAAATTAAGTCCCATGCTCACCTCCAGCATCCAAAATCGTCCTCCCCATTTCACCCCTGCCAAACAAAGGAACATTTCATCAAAATGTGACAGCAACACAGGGCCCAGAGGAAAGGTTTATTATAAACTTTCAGTGTATGAGACACTGATTCCATGGAACTGTAAGACTTCCAAGGAGTAAACACCTCTGGGAGCACTTCTTGGGGACCTTAATCACCTGATAGATACCACTTCAATTCTATTTGCTTTTCTGAAGCGTTGTAAAACAATTTCCAGTGTGAACAGCCCAACCTTCCAGTGACTGATTCACTGTGCTTTAAGCACATCTTTACAAATAGGAGTTTAATTTAATTTTACGACAACTGGGGTGGGGAGAAGCCTGATCCTTTCCTGGGAAAGAGGAAAACTAAGGCTTCTAATGGAGAATAACCCATGAGAATACCTGTCCACAGCCACTACAACTGAGAATTCAACAGCAAGTGCAGAAGTTGAGTTACACAGGGACCAATCTGCACAACAGCTTAGTTTTTACTAAGCCTTACAACTCTGCAAATGATGGAATGATATAAAAATTATACTGAAAATCATTTACATGACAAGTAACATCTCCTTTGTAGAAAGCATCTTTTTCCTGGCATCTCGAGGCATCTTGTCAAGCAATGCATTTAGTTTTTTTATTACCTAAGAAGAGTGAAAAAAAGGGAGCAAGATTAAATATAAAATAAGTTTGTTAAACTCTGAGTTATTCTTATTTTGGGCCCTTGCAATGTACTTCATACCACTGAAGAAAGCAACAGGCTTAAGTAACTGCAAAACAAGAAAAGACAATGAGTTCTATACATGACTTTAAATGGTATTTATCTTATTAAAACAACCACAGTCTCAATAAATTACATTAGTTTCACTGGGAACAGTAGCTCTTCAACAGTTGTTTCTTATTTGCAGGTTCAAATACAGAAAGTCTTCCAAAGCCAGAGTTCTGTCTGCAGTTGATTGCTGAGCTAAAGTATACCTTAAATTAGCATTTAAAAACCTTTCCTTTGGGGATGTAGCCTTTACAGAAGACTTTTTTTCTGGTAACTTTCCCTTTCTTTAGGGAGGGAAAATCCCCTGACAACCTGAGGTTCCTAAAATAAACAGGAGAAATTTGGAGTGTATTGGAGGGAATGCAAATTTCCTGCAAGTGACTAAAGAATTTGCAACCAACAATCTTAATCCTATTTCTAGAATTTGTAGAGCACGTTTTTTTCCTATGCTTTTATACAGCTTCCTCACCAATAACTTTAATATCACTATTTTGTAATTTACTCTGAAAGAAACCCAACAAACAAATAAAAAAGGCCCCCCACCACTGGTCAGAAATCTGAAACAGCCCCAACATATAAAAAACAACAAATCTTCCCAGAGAAACATTATACAGTCCTTCTGATCCTAGAGCACTACAATATTCTCTTTTCTGTGGCATCTGCACAGTTAAATAACTGTCTCCACAAAGTCTCTTAACACACTAACCAGGAAACTGCTGCTTAGAAAGAAGGATGTTTACCTCCTGCTGAACATAAATATTAATTCTTGTATCAGTGATGAGGGAACATGTTCTCAGAACAAAGTTCTCTAGTATTTGCATTTTACCTAACAAAAAGGAAAGAAAGAAATCAAAGAGCTGTCAAGAGTATATTAGAGTGCCCCCTTATAAACATTTGGGAAAGGATTAATTTTCATTTAGAAAATACAGTGTCTGTCCTTTTATACAGGATTAGTGCTATGTAAAACAGAATAGTTACTTCAATTTATAGTAACCATGTTTCTATTCCTGTGCATCACTGTGTAATTCCCCTGGGTAGGAGATTATTAATTTTTAAATATAATTGGTCAATCCTATAACTCAGCTCTCTGAGATACAACTCAGGTGCTGAAATTTATCTCCCCAAGGCGCAGGAAATGAATCTTTCACTCTGATCATGACACCAAACAGTCTGCAAAGACTTTCTCCCCAGCACCACATGGGTAATGGCAGGGTGACATTCACAAGGACAAGGTCAATAAGGAAGGATCTTAAAGGCTGTGCTGAGCTGTGACAGAACCACAGAAGCAACTTTTTTTAGGAATAACTCACTTAATTTGCCATCTCTGAGACTTATTGTGCTTTTTTTATTACTGACAACAGCAAGTTACAAGGAAATCTGTCCACAGCAAAACCTCAAACTAAAGCTGAGGTCACATGAATGAGAAAGGTGGTCCTTTGTGCGTGCTGAAAGAGACATTTTAAACTCTCATTTCTGCTTTTTAAGCTCACCTTCAGGTCTGCTATCACACACAACCTGCAATAAAAAATCCAAATAATTTTGATAAAGAAAATATTACAGCATAAAAAAATCAGGCAACATGTACCTGAAGGAAGTAATCAAAAAAGCATTTAAGATTTTGAAATTATTTTGTCCTTAACAAAGAATCGAAGATGATCTCTATTAACAAGTGTGTTTTCCCATAATTATATTTCAGTTAAATTTACTGAAATTATTTCACCAATGACAAAATTTTTTATGAAGAGATGAAAACTCACAGATCTTATAAACTGGATTAGCATACGAATAATGGGTGTAACCAAAATTTGATCAAGATGAAAATTTTTTTGTTCACTGAGTATTTACTGTTACTGGCTTTTTAACTTTATTTCATGCCAGCCATGAACAGAAATTAGTATGAATACAGCAAACTGTTTAAACCAAATGATTCATAATCTATTTCAGAAGTCATTGTAATGCTAACTTTAGGGAGATATTAAATAGAAACATATTTAAAGTCCTTTTATCATTAAACTAGTAACAATTACTTTGACAAATGTTATTATCAATGTATTTTTACCAGCAACATGATGAAGAAATCTTCAGCCAGATTTGTAAGCATTTCATTATCTTCATTTCCTCTGAGGACTAAAATTCCTTTTAACTTTTCAAACCAATTGACCATGTAAAGAGAAAACAAAGGTGAATCTATTTTAATAGCCTGGAAAAGGGCAATGGTTTGTATTATACTTATGTAAAACTACACAAACTCTACAATGATTAAAACAACAGCATCCCCACTCTGCTGAGCAGATGTTAGCCCCAGACTGAAATTCTTCACTCCAGATAAACAAAATTAGTTGATTTTAAGGACTTTTTAACACAAAAGCTGGAGATGTACTTTGACACCTGCCACCACAGACAAAACAGCTGAAAACGGGTAATAGCTGAGTGAAAGAGTGTTATTTGGTGGTGTGAATACAAGCATAAAGTTATTACCCTGATTTTATTATTCAATTTTGTTTATTTTTTTGTAATGTATTTCATACCACTGAAGAAAGCAATGGGCTTCAGTAACTTCAAAACAAGAAAAGACAATGAGTTCTACATGACTTTAAATGGCATTTACCTAAGACAACCTCAACTTCAATAAATTACATTAGTTTTAGCATAGTTCAACAGTTATTTTTTATTTGCAGCTTTATTATTATCGTTTACTTATTGTTTGTTTATTATTAAAGCAGCTGAGAAGGCAGTTGATCTATCTGACAAGGCAATAGCTCTCATCTGACATTGCCATTAATTTTCTCCAGTGAAATCTCTGGTGAAAGCAGAAAGGAAGCGGTGTCTGTTGTTCAGTTTTTGCTGAGTTACGAATGACTAATGTATCTAACATGCAGATTAAAGTAACACCAAATAATCAGAATACCACTAAAATATGTTGAAAGAGTAGGTACAAAATCATTGCTGTGGGACTTAACAAAAAAAAAAAAATAAATGGCACCAAGAAATTCTAATTCTCGAATCAAAAGCAATGTAACAAAGCACATGAAAATATATCATCTTGTTTATCATGCTTCAACTGCTGTAAGCATATCTAAATTAATTATATATCTCATGATTTGCAAAACTCTCACTGGGATAAAGCAGCAGACCCCTTTATAAGGGGTCACTTCACAGAGAACATTTAAATATGAACAATCTTTGTTGCAGAGTTATTGGAAATTCTTAATTCTGACCCAGTCAAGGACCAAATCAAACACTGAGCTGCTCAGCACTGAAGCACTGCAAATGCACTTTTTTCATGTCTATATGTTTATTTAGAAGTTCACAGATGCTTTATGGTTTTACTTATCCTTCCAACAAGACCGTGTTTTATCATTGCTGGGAGCCCATCTTCTCCTGCTATGACGATTTTTTCCCCACATTTCTGAACAGCATTTAGTAAAGTAGAAATGATTTTGACTTCTTGTTTGTCAAGTGCCTGAAATCAAAATTACAACAATAAGCTTTAGTGTGAAGTCCCACAAGAGCCCATATTTAACCAGATGCCTTTTTTGTTCTCGAAATCCACCTTAACTGCAGCTTGAAGGAGAGATTTCATTCATAAAATTTATTTTGGATTCTTAAATCAACTGCTGGTGTCAACCAAGCCAAATGAAAAAATCTTTTTTACCCTCTTCCAAAGATGGTGCAGATGATTTTGATGCAATGATTACATTACCCAACACAGAAGCTTGTCCAGTTTGTTGACAAACTGTTTGCTGCATTTATGAGAGACATTTTCACATTCTTCTGTGGCCAGAAATTGTTCTAAGGATCGGAAATCCTTTTTTACTGTAGCTTCATCAACTAGCTTTTCGAACTGTAAGCAATATACCAAAGCTGTATTACTGTATGCTTCACACTGATACAACCCATCTAATTAACATAGATATGATGCAAGTTTTATACAATCACCTGCTGCATTTGAAGCAAATATTCTGAAATCACAAATAATTCAGTATAAAACCTGAACTACAGAGCATCCCTATCTAATACATTAATTCTGTAAATACTTATGCACTGAGATTTTAGTTATTCGCCTTGATTGGCTTTTGTTTCCTCATATTACAACTAAATTCCCACAGAAGTGTTTGTTGTACCAATGGCCCTTACTTGGTACATTTAGTATTTTACACTTCTCAGCAACCTTATCCATTTTGCCCCTTTATTCCTTCTAAATCAATTACAACTGCATTTCAAGATTTTGATCTTAAGTATCACCTCAGCTGATTAACCTCTGCCAAACACATATGATTTATTTTCATCAGTATGAATCTCCTTCCTCTTGCTTTCCACCCAGCTACTTTGCACTAAGCCATGTCAAAAGAAAATTTCTTCCTACCACACTGCCACTGAAGACTTTCCTTACAATTAAATGCTAGTAATTAAAATAATCAGTATTGATACCTTGCTCCATCAGCACATACCTGCATCTCATTCCTCAGTGGCATTTTTGCAATTCACCAACTCAGCTGCACAAGGGGAAACAATCACCACACATTAAAGAGGTTTTGCAAAGTCACTGGGAACCAGTCAAACTACATTACAAACTCCACAGTTTGTCAGTGTATAAACGCTATATAAATGCTATTTAAGCACCTGAGGATATAAGAAAACTGTCTTGCATGGATAAACAATTGCTTAAAGCAGAGGAAGAAATTATCAGTTTCATGACTGGAGGCACAGAAGGACCTGAGAGGACCCTCAGGATTTCCCAGCAAGGAAAAAGAACAGAAGGTCAATACCAAGTTACTCAGGATGGGTGAGTCAACAGCAAATAAAGGCCATAAAGGCCTCACCATAAAATGGTAGATTAAATAATTTAACACAAATATGGTAAACAATGCAGGGAAAAGACTTTGTGATTATACACACAGTGATGGGCTCCAAAGTGACTGTCAGCAGCTAAAAGCAAGATCTGGGTAACAGAGGTTGCTGAAAATATTGTCTTAGTACTCAAGGGCAGGCAAAATATTTGCTTTGATGAACATTTAAGAAAAGCAACGAATCTGTTCATGCTTTGTACCAATTATTTTACACCAACCAACCAACCAATGTGAAGACAACAACCTGCGGCTTTGGTCTCCCCATTCCAGACATTATACAGACAAAAAAAATAGTGATTAAAGATAGGGAATGACTTCTGTAAAACATTAACTGGGAACACAACCTAGATATTCCTGTACTAAATAACAGAGAAATAACAAATACAGGGTTATTTTAAATTACTTTTTCCAACACAACTGCCTCCGCTGAGGCCCGTGCCGGCTGGCACCTCACAGCTCTCCTGTCTCCGGCCCGGTCAGACAGCCCTGAAGAGGAACCAGAACTCCCTTTCCAACACAGGAGCCCCCGAGGCCGGGCCGGCCGCACGGCGGCCTCCCCCAGCTCCCCGGCCACCCTCAGCGCGGCCCTGCCGCCCCTCAGCGCCCGCCAGCCCCGCCGGCCAATCAGCGCCCGGCAGCGCGCGCGCGGGCCAATGGCGGGGGGCGGCGCTGCGGGCCCTCAGCGCGGCCGGCGGGAGCGCCCTCAGAGCGGCGGACGCTGCCTTCGCCCCGCCAAGTGCCTTTTCTACAGCTGTTTAGAACCAATTTCTGCGCACACATAGAAATTACTGGGCAGGGCTTGCTAAAGCACTGCAGTCCAGTCCTATGCTTAATTTCGAAACGTTTTCACTGCCCGAGTAAGTGCAAAGACACGCTCGGTTAGACCTGCTGTGGGCAAAGGGCTTCGGCTGATGTTTGTGGTCTTTATTTTGCAGAGGGAACTGAATAATGTGCTCCAGTGGAATCCAGCAGTGGACTGGATAATGTGCTTAAAAGGAATCCAGCAGTACTGGATAATGTGCTTAAATGGAATCCAGCAGTACTGGATAATGTGTTTAAATGGAATACGACATTACCAAAGGGGGACTTAACCTGTACTGGTGTGGTACTGGTGTATCTATTGCCGCATTCACAAATACAGATGATAAAATTTATCATACTCCAAAAGAGTATCGAGAAGTGTCTCCATTCATACCTAGAATAAGCAGCAATAGTGGAGCATCTAGGAGAGAAGTCACCTTTCACAGCAGGTAAACCTGCAGCAAAACTGTAAATAAAATAAAACCTCTTGATTCCTTGAAATAAGAAAGGTAAAAAATACTAAAAAAGAAAAAAGAAGAAGAAAAAACCAAAAAAAGACCCCGAAAAACCTGCAGAGAAAGTATTTAAAATACCACGAGATGTCACTGTAATGCAAGAAAATGACAAGTGGTGTGAGAAATGGAGTATCTGCACTGAGGAGCTGGGAGTGAGCAGTGCTGAAGCAGATTGTAAAACAGCTATACTGAGAAACCTCCTAAGGACAAAATTCTGCATGAGGAACTTGGAGCATCTGAAGTTTTCTACGAAAACTGAATCCTGAATTGTACTTTCACCATACGAAGCAGAAATAACCAAAGCCAATTTGAAGTTGATGCTTTCCCTTACCAGTCACATGAGCAAACACAGAGGCTGAGCCTGTCCAGCCTTACTCATTCTACAGCAAAAGAGAAGTGAGACAGTCCAGAAGTGAGTCACACACTTTCCTTCCTGCAATCTACACCGAGATGACTTCAGCTCATTTCTCATTCTGTAACCTTAGTCTATTTTGTTTGGTTTAGCAGAAGGCAAGTCAGAGAGAAGCTTCATTGAGTTATGCATTAAACAGACCAGAACCAACAGTGAAATTATTTGGCCACAGTCATTTCAGGCACGTATAAAAACACCAGAGAAAATGGAACCAAATCTCTTTAGGGTAGGGTTGCACTATTTACAGAGACTCTTATTCACTACAATAAGTATTTATACTTACTATAGTTAATTAAAGACATTGTGCCAGCCAAGGTATTTTCAATCTCTGGGACAGCTGCTGTTGTGGTGAAGGGTCAGAAGTGTTGATACCAGCAGTTTGAATATCAAGTGTCAGCTGAAATACTTGTACATCTGAGATCACAGGGAGAGAGAAGTTGTGAAAGAAGTCAGCCCTAATGTTACACTCCTGTTGCCAAATGAATAATCACTTAGACTTGCAGTTCCAAGTCTTTACCAGCTGTAAAGTACAACTGATGATACATTAACTGCTGTAGTTACTGACTGCAGATGCATATTACTGTGATTACAACTTGCAATTTAATTTTTTCTTTGTAAAATAAATAAACTATGAATTTGAAACTAAATGTAAAAATACCAGCTATACTAAAAGTAACACTAACAACCTGTAAGATAAACCTGATAGCTGGATGTTTGCAGAAAAAAAATTATCATTTTCTTAAATAAAACCTTACATTTTTGAACAACTTAATACAGACATGCCCAAGTATTAAAACTGATTTTTCCCTTCCCTCCCCTCCCCTTCCCTCCCCTCCCCTTCCCAGAATCAAGTGGCAGCAAGCCTTTTTCCAGAATTGGATCTCAATCCTGCAGGTGCTGCAGGCACAGAATTTTGAGGTGAAAGGACAACAGATTCCATATAAGAAGTGGCAGCTCCAGCATCTTTGCAGATACATGCACTCATCATGTATCTTTATATCCTGTACATCCTTTAGTAACTCAAACCCACCTTACTTTTCCTGAGTATGTTACTCTGTGACAACTTGACATTAAGTTTCTTCATGAGCTTTCTTAACACGACTACCATTGACTGAAACAACAGAAAATTGTGAAAAGCTTTTATTTCAATCTTCTGTATTACAATAGCCATAGTTTTATTATTGCTTTTTAAAATGAATTAAGCACTTTGCAATTTTACAACTGCTGGACCTTTTGTCCAGCATATGTGCTTCATTGTTATACAGTATAATGTACAACCCCTTTTTATTTACATGGATTTAATGTTTCTTTAAAAAAACATGCTTGAAAGAACCTTTAAACTGTGGACTACTGGACATTCATTTACTGTATGACAATAATAAATACATATTTTAAAAAGTGCATTATATGGTGATAATCCTTGTGGAAGAATTCACTTTTGCAAAACCTCATTATAAGGGAAGTGCTCAATTTGAACACAGTGCAAGCAGTCAAGTTGTCCTGAGAAGATATAAATGTGGTGTAAGTTTACCTTCACAACAGGTGCATATTAGCACTAAATGGCTTAATCCCATTTTTGTCAACCAGAAGCCATTTGATGTTCATTACTGAGTGTGGCAGGGAAACCTAAGTGCAAACACCAGCTCTGCTGTGACAGGCACCAGTAATGGTGTGAAGGTTTAGCAGCTTAATCTGGAGAAGGCTCTCAGCTCCGCTGCTCCACTGAGCCAGCAGTGCCAGAGAACTGCACTGGCAGGAACTGAACTGTCAGCTCTTCCTCAGCAGTGCAGACCAGCACAGAGAGCAAAAGGAAACTGGGAATAATGCTTCAGTAGTTAGTATTCAAGACCTTGCACATGCCAATACCCAGAGAGATTGTGGAAGGAAGACAGCAGAAGCCCAAGTCAGACTGCTGAGACATTCATTTCTCTGCCCCTCTCACACTGCGCTATATCTGGCATGAACCTTTCTCCTGACAGCCTCAGCTTTACAAAATCTGGCCAAGGGGACACTCAGGTCTGACATTTGCTAGCACATGACAGTCTTTCCCAGAATGCAAATCTTAAACCACACCAAAACCACAGAACGAAAACAACAGAGCAAGAAGCATGGGAAGATGGTCTAACAGTGTTCCTGTGCTCTCCCTGCAGCAGAAGGGATTCTGTTTATAAGTCTGTGGAAGTAGCAGTTTACCAAATTAAGTGCTTTCAAGTTGCTGTTTGTGTTGCATAGGCTGCAGTCTTGGGAGTTCAACTGTTTTACAATGGCAAGCAGCTAAATAAATAAGTCAAAGCTACTTCTGCAGTAGTTCTGGAACACTGGGGAACAACTATGATTCAGGCTTCTGAATGCTATTCCAAGCCTCTGTACCCCACTCCCTGTACTATTTCTTTTCCTTATATATATATATTCATGTGATATCAATTTCTTGATCTATAATTTTACCAGTAACAGTGATAAAATCATAAGCATTCATACAGTGTTTTGAGACCTTCAACTGCATTTGCAGCACAAATCAAAAATTGATCCTTTTCCCTTAGTAAAAGCAGGTGCATCAGGAAAAGAGAGTTCTTGTACCACCACCTTGAGAAAAACCTACTTGGGCATCAATTGACAAAGGTGAGAATTTCCCCCAGGCAGATCTGCCTCACACAAACACTGGTAACAACCACACCTGCTGCAAGGAGGAGATAAGAAAAGGCACCTTTCATTTTTTTTGCCAAGTGAAAGAAACAGAGGGGCTGATGGCACATTTTCATGTACATTTTGCTCACAGTAGCATTTAATTTCCAACTCAGATATTGGAAATATTTAATGTGGTTACAGCCTTAATAACATATGTATATAAATACAAGTACTCCCTACAGTGTCTGTCGTCCAAACTATGCATAAATGGAATAGTGCCCTGATTTGGTGAAGTAATATAAACAAAATTAGAAACAAAACCAGTAAAGCCACACTGTCCACTTAGAAAACAAACAGTAGAAAATGGTAAGAGAGATCTGTTAGAAACATTCTATGCAAGCAAGAGTATCACTAGCAACAAGAAACATGTTGTTTTGCTCTCTGGTAGCCTCACAGCATTCCTGGGAACCATTTCGCAATGACTCATGCACTCAAAAAACTCACATGGCCTTTCTATGATAGTATCTCACTACAGATTTTGGCCGTTTAAACTTTCCTAGAGGTTTAGAGCAGTTTGTACAGGTCACCCACAGGCTGCTTCTCAGCCCTGGGACACTTGGCCAGGTTTGGCAGGTTTCAAAAAGAAGACTGTTTCCATAGGAGCAGAGAGCCATGCCAAGGGACAGAATGCCACCAAGGCCACTGACAGCTGCTCGGCACCACTCCCTTTGTTCAGATGAAGTGGATCCAGCTCTCCTCACATTCCCTTGGCAGCTTCAGGGGGTGAGTCTGACAGCTGAGGGTGTAGTTCTTGCCTCTGTTGTTATCCCAGTACTCCTGGCCATTGACTTGGTACCTTGCTGCAAACTGGACAAGAGTGCTTAGCTGAAGGAGAAAAGGAGGCACAGGAAGAAAGAAAGTGAACACATCAACCTGATCCTGCCCGTTTTTCTCTGGGATGCTGCAGTCCCAACGAGCACACACCTCATGGATGCTTTCCCACTGGTTGAAGGTGTAGCGCACAGACACCTGCTTCTCAAAAGCAACATTCCGAACCTGGATGGTGCCACTGAGCCCCAAATCTGAGCTGGTCACCCGTTCCAGACACACCTGCTGCTCCTGGAGTCGGGATGAGAAATCCAGACAATCTGCAGGCTGCTGGAAGTCAGGGATCAAACATTGCATAGTGAACTCCAAGTTCAAGTTGCTGTACCAGAGGTCTGAGTTTATGGAGAGCCTGGACAGGACGTGCAAAGGGATGGATGGATCCTCCCCAGTCTGGAAGACTTTCACTTCAGTGAGCTCCAAGCCTAAAGCATCAGCAAACCTGACCCTGTTCATGCGGCTCTGGAAGTTGGGCTTCTGACACTGCACTGCTGCTCTCTTCCTCCTCTCGGGTGATGTCGGCAGGGACCTCGCTCGGCGGCGGATGATGGGTCTCAGGGCTGGGTCACAGCTGGAGGAGGCGCTGTTCGGATGGTTATTTGGCTGGGGGCTCTCCTTGGCTGGGGCACTGCTCCGAAAAGTCTTGTTGCTACTTGTATGGGCTGCTGGGGGCTGCTGCTGCCCTCGTCTCATTGCTCCTTCAGCCCTTAACATGTTCTCATAGAGATCTGAGAGGTAGCTGGGATTCCTAGGAGGACCACGCACTTCCATCCTTAACTGCTGACAAAAAATCAGCCTTAACAGCTGCAGCTAATAATGAACACTATCCCTTTGAATCACTTTATTTGAGAATGTCAGCCACAGTAAGGTCTGAGGTTATTGCACTGGATGCAGCAAGGATCACCTGGAACAACGACACCTTGGAAGGAAGGGCAGAAGCCTGGCAGCTCTCACGGCAGCTGGCAGAGCCAGCAGTAAGGCGTTGTGTGGGAAGCTGAAGGCAGACTCAGTGGCCGATGAGCTCGAGATCGCTGGTGGTCCCCAGACTCAGGCTGGAAAGGGATTCAAGGCTATCACCGCTGATACTGGAGGAGCTCACCCCCAGGCTAGAGAGCGACTGGAGGCTGTCGTGCTGGATGAAGGACTCCAGGCTGTCGGAGAGGTCGCTGGAGGCGCGGTGAGCGCCGAAGCACCGTGAGCCGGAGCCCCGGGCGAGAGGGGCCTGCAGGCTGTCCTCGCTGGCTCCGGCCGAGCCCGCGCTCCGGCAGCAGCAGCACGAGCAGGGGGCACACTCCAGGCTGTCACACTGGATGCTGGGCGAGTCGAGGCCGGGGAAGGCTTGCAGGCTGTCGGGCGGGAAGGAGCCGGGGCTGCTGCAGAGGCTGGAAGGCGGGCGAGGACTGTCGGGCGCGGCCGCGGCGCCAGGCTCGGTGTCGTGGCTGGCGGGGGACGGATCCGCGTTCGGGGCCGCCACAGCGCCCATGGGCGGCGCGGCCCCCGCTGCAGCCCGGCCGCGGGAGCAGCCCCGGGTCTCCGGCCCTCACCGCGGCCGCTCCGCTCCACACCCGCGGCGCAGGCGCGGGGCCCTTCCCCCGCCCCGCCCGGCCCGGCCCAGCCCAGCCCAGCCCGGCCCGGCCCCCACGATCTGCGCTCGGGCTGCGCTGCTGCTGCTGCCGCTGGCGACGGACGCGGAGTAAGGGCAGGTACCGGGCCGCGGGCGAGGATCGCCGGGGAATGCGGGGCGGCCCCTGAGTGAAGGAACGGCCCTTGCGGAGCGCGGTGATAGCGGCAGGGAGCGGAGCGGGCCCGGCTCGGCGGGCGCTGCGGGCACAGTCTGCTCCTGCTGGCACTGCTGCCATAGCCGAGGGCACAGCCTGCCACCATCCCGGCACTGCCACCATCCCGGCACTGCCCCCGTCCCGGCGCTGGCCCCTCGCGGCCGCTGCTCTGCCCCGTCCGGGTGCGGGACCGCGGCGCTCCGGCGCTCCGGGGCTCGGCTCCCCTGAGCGCGGCCGGGACAGGATGCGGGGAAGCGTTTGAAGGATAGGACGGGATCAAGTGTAAATAGATACGGACATCAACACGACAGTAAAAACGTGAACAGCACTGCAGTAGAAGTAAAGGGGGGTCAGAAGAGCTGTTTGTCACCTGTCACATTTGCAGACCATTGTGAATCCCTGGAAACGTGCAGTTCCCTGATACGGGAATGCATTCTTTGGAAGTAAAAGAAGGCAATGGATCCTGCTCTGAGTATTTTTAGTAAGAGCTGATGATACATTTGTTTTGGAAAAAGAAAAGAAAATTAAGTATTGGATATAAAATTTGCACATATGCATATGGGAAGAGCGCGTTTTGTGACACAAAAAGGACAGCTCAGCTCGCACAGCACGCAGGGGGTTGATCATCTGCTCTCCATAAATTGGAGCAGGAACACCCACCCCATTGGGCTGTGACGCCCAGGCTGAGGCAGCGCCTGGAACTGCGCAGGCTGAGCGGTGGGGATGGGGATGGGGATGGGGATGGGGATGGGGATGGGGATGAGGATGGGGATGGGGATGGGGATGAGCACATGACACTGCACAGGAGCTCTGGGAGCACGGCCGTACCCTCAGGTATATCCACGGATTGGGAATAGTAAATTGAACTATGCTGCTTCTCACTAAGCGAGTGCTGGGGGAGGGGACTGTTTTCCAGTGCAGTTTGGTAGCTGATTATGTTTATCTTACTGCTTTAAAAATAGAATCACATCGGGAGGATTTCGTTTGTCGCCAGCATCTCCAAGACGAGGGGATGTCAGCATTGGATATACTGTGTCTTGCAAAGCCAAAAGACTGGAGCCGTTTGAAGATTATGTAACAGTAAAGGTGCAGATACCCTTTGGAAAGAGGAATAATGGGACCAGGCATTCAGGAATATCCCTTATTATTGCACAGAGAGACACAGCAGAGGGAAAGCCACAGCCACACCAATGAAAACCACAAAGGAATGGTAAAGTAAGGAAATTAATTTCTCTTTTTATAGTTGCTGGAATGTCAACATATTGGGCTTACTTAATAAGTGCCTGGCTGTCCTGCTCCCACTGCCATCCTCTCCCCTGATGCCAGCGATAGAAATGATTGTGCAGGATGATCGTGCAGGTCACAAGGTCACAGAGGTGACTGCAGCAATGTTGGAGGCACAGGACTTAGTTTCATTCTCTTATAAGCTCTTGAATTTGTGAAATCATGTGTTTTTAAAAACAAAATCTGACTCTACTGACATAAAAACTGAGAACAAGATGTACAGCCTGGCAAATTAACTGAACTGCAGTCATGCTAGATTTGACAGGAGGGCACAGTTTGATTATTCCTGTTCTGAAATGATATTTTAAAGCTTTCCATTTGGAAATCAGTAATATTTCTTGTTTGTAGAGCAAACACTGTTCTTATTTGTACAGAATATGCTGATTTATTTATTCTGTGTGCTTACACAGAAATGTAGCAGGTTTAATTAAGGAAGTATGTTTTAGTTCTAAGCTGCTCAGATCAGTAATGCCATTCCTTTTGCTTTCATATGAGCTTTTTCTCTTAATAATATTTTCACAACTCCATTATAATATGAAACAGGGAATTTTCTTATGCCTTCATTGTGAAATAGTTTGTATTAATACCAGCAGAAACCTTATGCTCCCTGTTCTTCCACTCCTTATCTTCAAAGGAATAATCCTTTAAATTTTGTTGAGAATATGCAAATGGAAAAGACAAGCAAGATTTGGCTTGCAGTGACCTTCATATTGTAGTTTATAATAAATGTTGGTAAATTGCAATAAAGGCACCTACCAGGTACTATAAAAATCAGTGGTTAAATATCTAGTCTGTAATATTTATTATCTCCAAAGGAGCTTTAAGATCCTCATACAGAGGATTCTATATTAGGGCTACGTTCTATTATTATATCATCTGATAGAATTACTCACTTTTGCATTAATAATATTAAAAATACAGCAGTGCATTTTTAGTGTAAAATAGTTCTGATGAACTTTAAGTCTAAGAATAACTGCAGTCAACCCTCCTTTAAACTCAGTTGAACTCTAAGCTTTTATTGTACTTCCATTCTGACACTCATATATGCTGCTATTTATATCTGATATTCTGTTTCATCCTTTGTGGTTACAGTAATGGAAAAAGCCATCCAAGCACCAAAGGACTAAATAAACCAATTTCTTATGCGAAATCTCCTCCTGGAAGATTAGGCAAAAATGTATCAAGTGCCACTGAAAAGGTAAATAATCCCCTTTTCTAACATAAAAAGTGTACCTACTCTAAGTCAGCTTCTTAATAACATCACAAACTTTCATATCCCTTCAGATTTCCCATGACACTCAAGATGGTCACCAACCAAGTGTTTTTAAGAAGGGAAGGAACCAGCTGGATGGCAGTAATCAGTCAAAAAGGTAATTTAATGTTATCTGTTTAATTTGTTGTCATTTCAAACTGGTATACAAAATGCTTGTGATGAAATTGTACCTGCTGTATTTTGCATGTGACTTCACTGGCACAGAGTTCAGCATTTATGAGAACAGTAAATTTAAGTTATCAAAATGGAAACTTGCTATCCTGCTTTAGTGAGTTCTATGGCAAAACCATAATAATAATAATTAAAAAAATAACAATCAGTAGTAGGCACTGTTATCTCTACCAGCAATTACTGATTTTGCCTCATTACCAAGTTTCTGTGCCAGTTTTAGCTTCAGTCATGGAGATCCCTGTCCTTGAAGGGGTGGCAAGACCTTTGTAAGCTGCTGTTCAAAGGCATTGACCATTCTAACAGGACATGAACTTCCTTTTCCTTTAGGATCCCAAGTGTTTGCAGCTCAGTGCACAGTGCACAAGGACCAAAGAGGAGTCCCCCAGAAAGAAGGCAAAACGAATCCTTCCTGCACAGGAGTCCCCCAGAAAGAAGGCAAAATGAATCCTTCCTGCACAGGAGTCCCCCTGGCACAAAGGGCAGCACACAAGAAAACTTCTGTAGGGCTAAGGATGTCCCAGTGCAGCATTTTTATTGCAGTAAAAAAGAACAGTTGGGAAAGAATCATGAAGAGTACATTGCTGAAGCCAGTCCAGGCTCTTCGAAATGGCAAGAAGCATCTGTAGGTGAAATGTTTCTCGATTTTGAGTCGGTACAAATTATTAAAGAAGATGCTGAAGATGATAGTGCCAGTGACCTCTCTGACTCAGAAAGGATTCCCATTCCCCCCTCTCCCTGCACACCACCAGAACTCATCCTCAGAGCTGAAGAAATCGACCCAGTTTGTTTGGAACACATCCCTGAAATAGGATTTAAAGAATCCGAATATTACTACCCCGACTTCCTCCCACCACCTTTCAACACCTGGGACTTGAAGCAGCTGGCCATCTTTGTCCACGTGGAGGGGAAAACTGAATTCCGCCCCAAGCCCTCGGGATCCCTGGAGAAATACATCGAGCGCCTGGTGCAGCTGGAGTGGCTGCAGATGCAGACGGTGCAGAGCGAGAAGGGCAGGGCCACCAAAGGCCGGCCCCAGACTGCCCCCGGCTCCACCCGTGCCCTCAAGAGCCCCGGGAAAGGCAAAGCCTTGCTCAGCCCTGTGCCCAGCAGGCAGGGAATGCCCCAGGAAAGTGCTACCAGGCTGCCCAGGAGCTGTTTGGGTCACAGGGCAGAGCTGTCCTCTGAGGAGACTCGGCAGGTGCGTTCCCACCCGGGTCACCTGAAACTTTCTGAGAGAACGGGATGTGCAGCATCTTCTCAGAGGCAACCTGGTGATGGAAGGAGTGAACTGAAAAAGAAACCAGCTGCAAAGCAGCAGCTGCTCAGTCTGCAGCCCCCTGAGAGCAGCTCTAAAATCCAAAGTGTTGGTAACATCAGACCCCCTAAGCAAACCCCAGCATTCCACGGTGCAGCTGCTCCCATCAAAGGCTTAAAAACATACACGTGTACAAATCCAAAGAAAAATGGCAATGCCAGCAATTATGTTCCTCCTAAAAAACCAACAGCGGACAGGAAAATAAAAACAAACGGCACAAAGCAAACGCCACGCAAATTTCAGTGAGGGAAAATTCATTAGTGAATGTTGATGCTTCTTGACTGTTTAAAAGCATCTGGCCAGTGCAGAAGAATCTCTTTTTGCTTCATAGGAAGATCCTGAGAAAAATGTTCCTGACACGTGGTTCTGAGTCAGCACTGCTCATTTCTATACATTTGATCTTAAGCCAGCAGGAAATGTTTTCCCTGAAGCCAAATGTCTTCCATTGGTCTTTCCTCAAAAATATTTATAATATTTATAAATTGCTCAATGAAGATAACAATAGCACAGTGTGAAGTTTAGAGGAGTGTAGAATGTCCTGTCTGCACCAGCTGGAGTCTTAGTGCTCCTTGTACTTACCCTGCTGGTGGGAGGGAATAGAGCCCATGCTCTTTCTCCGTGCTTTTTAAAGATGTTCTT